CAGACGAATGACAAACGGAATGACACAGGTTCAACACGCGAATGACAAACAAAACAACAGAGACGAATGACAAAGAGAGTGACAGAGTTTCACCACATCAATGACAGAGGTGCACCAGACGAATGACAAACAGAATGACAGAGAATGTTCACCAGACGAATGACAAAGAGAATGACAGAGGTTCACCACACGAATGACGAACAGACATTAGAGACTTTTGGCAAGCGGAATTTTCCCATCCGTATCACGTATCCGTATCGTATACGTGATACGTTGCGTCAAAGTAGTTTTAGAGTTTTGGCAGATTTTTGCGTCGCGTACGTATGCGTCGATGAGCTGAGCTTAGTTCTATTATAACAGCATAGTGGCAGATATCTACCAAGATCACCACCAGTACTAGTCAAGTGCGTATTATAGTCTACAATTTCCCGGAGGGAATGAAGTCGCTCGGCAGTCGCCGAGCTATCAAACAAAATAAATGTCGAATCTTATTAAAAAACTTCGACTCGACTGTAATTTTTGGTTTCACTAATGTATCATTTCAGAAAGTTTTTACCCCTTTACCACAGAATAAAATCTTTTTGAGATTTGCAAGGTTCAGCCTCCCTAATTTTGCACGTAAATCAACCATCATGGTTAAAATCACATCAAATATACACCTTCGTGTTCTAGAATACACAAAGATTCATAATAACGCTATCATACAACATTTCAGCGTCTAAAAGTAGAAAAAGGACGGTAAAAAGACACGACAATGTTATACGGACCATTTCCGTATGAAAGCTGTTCGATACGTTCTGCCGTATCCGTGTGCCGTATCACGTATGAGAAATATACACACATTGATGACGTCACACGCAAAATCCATATACGGATACGCGATACGGACCAGAAATTTACGCTTGCCAAAAGTATCTATTAGGCCGGCGAACCCGTATCATACTCCATCACTCGTCTTATAAACCCGTGTCATTCACTTTGTCATACTTCTGGCATTCAGCCGTCGAATTTCTTGCCATCCACTTTGTCATTCATCTGGTGAATCTGACATCCTCTTATTCATTCGTCCGATGAACGTGTTTATCCACATTGTCATTCGTCTTCTAAACCTATTTTATCCACCTTGTCATTCGTTCGTCTAGCGTATTATCATTCACTCTGTAAATAGTCCGGTGTAGGCTAATTCCCTGTCATACGTCTGGTGATTTCTGTCATTCACATTTTCATATGTCTGCCATTCGTCTGGTGTACCTCTGTCATTCGTCCGACGAAGCTCTGTCATTCTCTTCATCTTCATTTGGTGACCTCGTGTCATTTTCTTTCATTCCTGTCATGAACCTGTGTCATTCCTCTCGTGAACCTGTATCATTCACTTTGCCATTCTTCTTGTGAATCTCTATCATTCACTTTGTCATTCGTGTGGTTAACCTCTGTCATTCTGTTTGTCATTCGTCTGGTGAACCCCTGTCATTGGTCCGGTGAACCGTCCATTTTTGGGCAATGTATTTCCGTTCGGGCACAAACATTAGAGAATGAGACCATATATCATATAATTGACAATTGAAATCGCTCGCGGTTTACTTTTTGAATACTATAATACGTAAGTGGAGCTTTGTGCAAAACTCGTTAAAGTTTCAGATTGATTTATTCTAAAAATTTGGATGACAAAGAAAATTTTCGGTAAATCCCCCCCACCCCCATATGGAGGTCCACCAGACGACTGACAAAGTGGATGACAGAACGTCGCCAGACGAATGACAAAGTGAATGACAGAAATCACCAGGCGAATGGCAGAGAATGACACAGATTCACCGGACGAATGACAAACTGGATGACGTATCCACCGTCCGGAGGAATGACAAAGTGAGTAACAAAGATCTAGAGACGGAAGGTTGAGAGATGATGTTTCTTATCTAGTGTGATACATGCTGTTCCCAGATCAGTTTCATGCAATTGAAATAAAATATTAATTACTCCAAAAAAGACAAAATAAGTTTATAGTTATTAAACCCAATACTGTAGTTGAATTATATTAGCCTAAAGGGAGCAGTTGTGCTTAGAAATTCCTTGTCATTCTTCATTCGCTTGTCATTCGTCATGCAAATTAGGGAGGCCCGTTGAATTGGACACATTCAAGAACACAATATTTTTTTATACAACTTTGTGTGCCCAAATTTTCCCAGCATTTGGTGCCCAAAATGGGGGGGGGGGGGGGCATTTTATTGAAATAAAATTAAACCACATTTTAGTCCCGAAATGACATAGTTTGTGTCGAGTGGAAGTTATACCCCATCTCTCTCTCTCTCTCTCTCTCTCTCTCTAACCTAAGGATGGCAACTATTGATATTGGTGCATGTCCCGACCAACAGGGGCAGATCGAGTCTGTTTATCGTATACATGCCGCAATTTTGAAATGGGTCATCTTGGAACTTGGCATATGTATTCCTTATAGCCTAAGGACGTCAACATTGATTTTGGTGCATATCCCGACCCCCGGGGGCACAGCTAGACAAGCCCAATTTTTCTGTTTATCGTATACGTAGGCTGCAATTCTGAATGGATCATCTTGCATATGTATTACTTATATATCCTAAGGACGCCAACTATTGATTTTGGTGCATGTCCCTATCCCCAGGGGCAGAACCTAGCCCAATTTGTGTTTAGCACCTGTAAATTTGGCAAAACAAACCCAAAGCCCAGCCTTCTTTGCCTCTGTCATATTACAGTCGTTGCAGCCTTTTCATATTTCATTCTCTTCATTTTATAAAGTACCATATCAATCAAAGCGGGAATGTGGACGTATATTTCAGCGGTGTCGGTGCTCTGGTTAATATTGTTTTCGTGGATGCGGTTGAAACGATTTACTTCGTTTATATTTTGAAATTCTTATAATTAATTTCTATTTATTTTCACACTCTTTTAGAAACATGTATTCTACAGTGACTGTCGGTTTTCTTATTTTTATAAACGCGTAGTTTTGTACGGGAAAGAGGTTGTAAGTGATCACATTCAAATCAATGATCCGCTAAAAATTAAGATGTCCACGCGTATAAGAAAACGATATACTGAATAAACTCTATTTAAGCATATACTTCATATCAAATATGTGCAACGTAGAAATAATAGCCTACTATTATAGCTGGCTGAAAATGTCACAGGTGTCAGGGGCCATCATTATGGTCATTACATTGTTTGGCCATCACACTTACACAAAGGCAATTTCTATGGTAGATCTAGATTTATTTGGCACAAATATACAAAATAATAAAAGAAATTATATGCTTTATATAAAAAAAATTAGAATCATTTTTGTGAAAAGATTGTCGACCATATTGCCCCCCCCCCCCCATTAATATGGTCTGCCCTCTTTTGCCAACCCCCCCCCCCCAATAATTTTAGAAAATAAAAAAAAGTATTTGTGATACGTTTCGGTAATCAATACCTTCTACGGTGAATAAATCGCACATCCCCACTCAGTCATAAACTTGCATGTTGTAGAGCATTCCCGACAGTCTATTTTTCAAAATTTTCTTGGCGAGGTCCCCAATGGACTCGCTACTTTGGCGCTCACAAGGGGAATTCGTTGAGGCTCGCAAGTCCGTTCGTTTGACATTTTGTTCTCTAGTCGGATAAACTATAAGTGATCAGGCGACGAACGGTATCTGGGCAGATCTATTTATCTCGACAATCCGTGCCTGACAGAATACTGTAAGACAGCATTTCCGGCAGTCTATTTTTCAAAATTTTCTGGGGGAGGACTCCCTATACTTTGACACTCGTGAGTGGGCTTCGTCGTGATTCGCAAGTCCGTTCGTTTGACACTTTACCTCATCGATCAGTGCCTGAAATACTGCCAGGCTGCATTTCCGGCAACCTGTTTTTAAAATTTTTCTGGGGAAGGCCCCCTACCCCTAGTTGAAGCTCGTGCCTTTGCCCCCTTAACCTTGGACTTTGCCCCAGCTTTGCCCCTCCAATCACCGACGGCTGGCGCCGCCACTATGATTGTAGCCCAGTCACCACCCACCACCACCCTTTTTTATTCCGGCCGGGCGCGTCGAATTACCCAATAACACCCAATAACTGCCCAATAACACCCAATAACTGCCCAATAACACCCAATAACGGCCCAGTAACACCCATGTTCCTGAAGCAACGACCGCGAGTTTTTACAACAAAAATCACATACATGAGTTATCTCCCTTCAGGCGAGTGAGCGTAAAACTCTGATTTGGGCTCAACGTTGCGAGGCTTTTAAATTCAACTAAATTGTCATTTTGTATTTCCAAAGTCAACAATTTGGTGTTATTGGGCAGTTATTGGGTGTTATTGAGCAGTTATTGGGTGTTATTAATTTCTTGTCAACAAAAATCACATATACGAGTTATCTCCCTTCAGGCGAGTGAGCGTGAAACTCCGATTTGGACACAAAGCAGCGATGCTTCTTAAATTCAACTAAATTGTTATTTTGTGTTTCCAAAGTCAACATTTTGTAGTTATTTGTTATTTTGGAGTTATTGGGTTTACTGGGCCGTTATTGGGTGTTATTGGGCAGTTATTGGGTGTTATTGGGCATTTATTGGGTGTTATTGGGGAATTCGACGCGCCGTTCCGGCCTTGATAAATGGTGTCCATAACCAACCGAATCTGAAAATTGCTATTAATATTAATAATTAATCCTTAGGGTCAGATCATTGTGTTTATATATCGAACATCAGTTGGAGAATAGATATATTAATTACAGGTACATGTAGGCTACGCGAAAATTCTAAATCATCCAATTTTTAATATAGAGTGCCCAGTTCATGTTACTAAAAGGATTTCGTTATATTTATATATATATTAATTGAGTGATTCCTGGGTGTTGGAAAACCATGGAACCTAAAATGGATTAGGGTTATTGAAATGTTATTAGCGCATTTATTACAGCGACTACGAACGCCGGTGTCAGCTGGTTATCGGCGTAATAATATTATAAATCTATTTTAGTTCAGTATTTTATGTTTCCTATTTTGCTCTCTTATTACAACACGTGTAGAGATTAAGCTAAAGCTTATACGTCAGTAAACCATAATCTTAATAATTCTAAAAATGAGTTAGCAATCACTGACGGTAATCATATTTTGTTGCGGAAGAATGGCTTGACAGATGTTGTTCGGCTGTGAACAAGTTCCTGAGATCAGTCTATGTGTAGACTTGGTTGCCAAGAACAAGTCTAACTAAAAAAGATGGCAAGTGCCGGCGAATCTTTCTTTGAAGGAGCGGAAAAATTGCTTGAAGTGTGGTTTGAATTTGACGATGACAGTTTGGAGTCTAGCCTAAGAAGCATTGACAGGTATAAGATTTATTAATAAACTAAATCTGTCCGTTGTTTACACGTGTTCATAAGGCAACATCATACATCACATGCGAATGAATGGCATAAATATAAATAAATGACGTTCACGTTTTGACTTATCAATGTTGCGAAGATGGAAGTCTGTTATTGTTTATAGAAAAATATGTAGCATTTCATTTAATATTTTATGTATCAAATATATTGATTATTTGAATATTGTTGGTATAAAAATGCCTTTTGATTGATAACCATCGTTCGTAGCCGATGGGATTTTATGCAACACCATTTCACCAGCCACCAGGTGAATGATGGCATTTCCATTCAGTTTGATATGATTTCAATTTTTCCAGGACATTTACGTTTCCACCTACTGTCTGGGGGTGGAATTATACATGTAGTTCCTTTAATAACGTCTCTGATCAGTCCCCTTTTTGAACGGTCTCTGGTCGATCCTAAAGGAACTTGTCAAATTCTAATTACTGATATTGTCAAGGGTACGGTACGGTACTTTTATGTGCCCTCCCAAACAAAGGTGGACATCATCAGTGAAACGAAGAACACCATACTATTGTTGAACTTTTTTATGTCGGAAAGGAGTTGAATCTATAGCCTTAGCGGGGTTTACACAATACACCCAATCTGTACAACCGTCAGATGCAACAGTTGCATCCAACCAACTTGATCAGTCAATGGTCGGATGGACAGCTTGTTGTATGGATAGGAGTCTAGGACCAGTTCTATTCTCATCTGACCAACCGATGCAATAGCCAATCAAATTGCGTTACATTAGACAACGTTGTACAATGTATAATGCCGTATCTGATTTGGCAACAAGAAAAGACCTCGTTTTCGGTGACTTCAAGTCTGATGTCCTGTAAAATGGATGTAAACCTATCCGCGACTGATAACTCTGTATAGGATTAGGAAGCATGTATTTTGTGAAACCCACGTAATCAAAACTACACGACGACAGGGATGAGAAGTGTTGCCTTGGGGTCTATTGCTGCCATTTTATTCAGTTACTATAAGAAGGAACATATGTTGCATCCGACATTTGTATGGTCTGATTGTATTGTGTAAACGCAGCTTTAGTAACAGTGAACAGTATGGTATCATGTTTTAAATGTCAATAATTCTCGCATGCTTCCTGTTATTACCCAAGTTGAATGAAATGTCAATTCAATATATTGTAAATATACAATTCTGTAGACCGGGAAATTTTCTATTTTCAACGGACATACATGTATTATGCAAACATTTGATGTAAAAATGGAAATGTGAATTTGATTACGGTAATATTGTGTTGCGATTATGTTTTACAGTATGAATGTTGTATTTTATATTCAAAAAGAAATTTTATGTTGGAGTTGTATAAAGTTCACACAAAAAGATATTTTCACATATAGATCGTTAAAGAAAACCTAAATTCAAAGTACATAATATTAATATTTAAATGTATAAAAATCAGAAAGTGAGTCCGTAGTCTTTAATGATAACAGATTTAATTTTTGTAAGGAAACCGGTAATTATTATTATGTGTATAATTAAATTTGTTATAAATATTTTATTTATCAGAAAAGTATGGGAAGAATTGTTGAAGCTTGTTAAATGTGAAATAATAAGTCGCACTGTTGATGAAGATATGGATGCTTATGTACTGAGGTATGTTCATGTACTGGTGTCATGGTCGACCTGGTTTCTTATTTTTTTTTAAGTAAAGTGGTAGGCATACATGATATACAATAAAGGATTCCTGATAATAGAAAGTTAAAGAAATATGTAAATAAATAAGAAATGTAACACCAGATCAAAGATTAAGACTAACATAAACTGTTGGGTAATTGAAAAGCACCCAAGCAGAGTTATTTCAAAAAGACAATGAAAAAATGGTTAAGTAATATGACAAAATCAATTCTGAGTTGTTACTAAATGGATTCCTAATAAAAACAGGGAACCAAATAGATGCATAATTGGCATTGGATGCAGTTAACTGGATATAAAGTCAAACCATGACACATGACCAGCAATTACGCTTTTTGTAGTCGAAATTGATGTTAATTAGTTCATGTTATGTGTCTGTCTATTTGGATTTACTGACTTTATTTTTACAACATAATCTAAAGACTTCATGGAATTACAGAACCTGAATGTGCAAATGTTTACACCAACTTGTCCAAGTTGAATATATTTCGTCTGATACGAGTTGTTTTGAAGTTCAAGTAGATTTGGAAAAAGTTGTTATTTACAGTTTTTATATGACCTTGTACCAGGTATTCTTGTATTTGTGAATGGTTCATGTCCTATGAGATAAACACAACATAAGTACATGCATGTATGTTATTTATTAGGAGTTCCTTTTCAGTTGACAAAAACAGTCACCGATCCATGTCATAAATCGAAATAGCTAGAATTATATTCTTATTAAAATAGTGTTTAAAATGAAATAATATTACTGGCAGCTAGTAAAGGACTTGAGGTGATTTATTAAAGTGGGTCAGTCAATTTATTCAAAACGTTGTTGACCAGATAATATTTAGTACAGCCATTCATCCAATATTAAGTGGTAGACATACACACATAGGCCAGAACTTGTCACCCATGCGGGATTGTTTAGAGTAAAGTGAATAATGGTCAGTTAAGACAGATACATGTACTATAGTTTAGACTATAATAATTTATGAGATAATCCATCTACGTGTATGAATATTTAACAAGCATTATGCAAGAGCTAAATCTGCCTATCACAGGTCTTTCTTTAGGCCTGAAATCGTATCTAAATTATTAATTAGACATTAATTAACTTATCCAGACCATAATCAACTCTCGATGTCAAGGCTAGTCTTAGATATCGACTAGATTAGAATCCTATATGCTGCAAACGCTCATTGATAATTAAGTCAAAACAATGGAGAATCGAGACTATGCTTTTTAACATACTAACTTAAGTAATGATGAATGAGGCTAGGCGGAAATTTACAAAGCTGATATCTCGGTTCATAGTGGACCAATTTGACTGAAATTTTCAACAAATTACCTTTACATTATCTAGCTTTTAACTATTATAGTGAGAATTGCCAACTCGTTATCGAATCTCCAATAATGTATCTTTAACTATGTAATCAATGCTGGAATGGTCATCTTATTAAGCTAATGAATGGCTAAAACTTCAATACTACCTTTAACAATTATAGTCTCTCTGCTTTGAGCGGCATTTAGCAATTGACAGTAATAAACACAAAAACATAATATGGAACACAATTACTATTTTAATTAAAGTGACGTTTCGTTGTGGTTTCTCAACATTTTTCAAGAACCCTCAATGAAACCTCGGTTCCATATTATGCTTTTGTGTTTATTAATTATAGTCTATTGTGCAGATAAAAATATAATAATTTTATTCTAGTTCTACACAATAGATTGTAACTCGTAAAGGTATTAACTATGTTACTTATTAAATAATAGATTTCAAACACCAGTGATGTAATTGAGATCTTGCAGTCTTATTTAATATTTTTAAGGAAGCTTAAACTCTGAATTTCTGTCTGAACCTTGGTAAATTTTAAACAGATTTCTCTGATGTTGAACAAACTACTGAATAATTGTTATTAAAAACTTGCCTGTGTGTTTGAAATCACCTCCGGTTGAATAAAATCCATTGCACAATTAAATATCCCAACGAACAAAAAATGTTCTCTCTTGAAAAGTCAATGTTTTTGCTTGTATTTTTGGCTGTGTTCATCACAACATTGTACATGTCACGTGATGAGCAAACCATCGTAATATGTTGAAAGGGGCGGGGGGGGTAAAGGTTGACAAATTTTGACAATCATGTGTGTTCCTGTTTTCTTGTGTAAGGCGTGGCATTTTTCGGAAGTGATCAATGTTGAAATTTTGATCTGTATTTAAAGGGCCAGAGTGCAGGGAATGTACATGCAAAACGTGTGACATGGGACTGCTTAAAGTCGTGAAAAAAGACAAGTGTTGCGTTTGCATGAACAAAGTTCAATACTGAGAACTGATATTGGGTTCAAACAGAATTCCACAAAAAGAGACCCATCACAAGTTTCACCTATGTGCCATAAAATAGGAAAGCCCAAGAAAACGTTTACCAGAAATATTTCACGAATAAGGCATTGCGATTTTAATGGCTTGAGTATATTTTAATAAATTATAATAGGCACTACATCCCTGTCAATTATAGGCAACTTTGTGGCTAACATTTATAAACAAACACACTTTATTTCACAATTTTAATTGGTCTAATCCCAATGCTCTGTGGTTATTGATCCATTTTCAAAGTTTTATGATTACCACAAAAACTATGAAAAAAGGCCACCGCTTCTCAATAATTTCTGTATAATTTCCATATTTAATTCATGCTCTGACTGTTCATGTCAATAATATTCCTGATTAAATTACTTTTTTTTTTCTGATTATTCGACAGATACTGAAATCGAAACATTCTTGATAAGAACAGTTCAGGACGTCTAAACATCGTTCATCATCTTTATAAAAATGTATTTAAAACAAAAATCACTTGTCAAAAGAGGCATTGCAGATTGCATGTATTATTGGGTCTTGTGTGTTAATTATTCAGACCGTGGGAAAAACTCCTGCACGTTTTAGCGCTAAATTTAACCATTTTCACTGCATCTGTGTAGCATACAATAACTCATATGGCATGGTACCTTTTACGGTAATAGAATTCAAAGCGTTGATTGACTGAGGCATGACGTGATCTACGAAATGCCATTAGAAAATTCCATTCTCTGTGGCTTTCAAAATGGAGTTGTACTGGATACATTGTCCTGTGAATTTCAAAACGAAGTCGGGATTTTCGGAAATGCACAAGATGCACAATTCTAAAATTCTGAACAGTTTTGCACAACGGAAATAATATTCAAGGAGAAATAGAAAGACATGGAACTATCTGCCGATAATTAAACCAATGTGCGGTATGATTAGTTGATAATAATCTTTGGTATATATATATAAAAATTTATTTTCCTATTCAATGATTCAATGACCTCGGCTATTAAAGATACATTATGTAAGATTTAGATAAAGAGCTAGCCATTCTTGCTATGATAGTCCGAAAATAGATAATGTAAAATGAATAATTTGAAAATTAGCCTTAGAAGATTTGGCAAGACGTGTGCAATAATTGCAACCATCGTACTGGTTGTTCGAAGCTAATTAAGTCTCACTCCTCCATTTTTAAATTAATCAAGATATGGCTGAACCATCCTAATCTATTTAATATCGAAGAAATCCGATGCCATCAAAAGCTGATTATGGCCTGGATCAGTTAATTAATGTTTAATAATATTTCAGGCCTAAAAAAAGACCTTCAATAGGCAGATTTAGGTCTTGCGTAATGTATAACACATTGGCATTTACGGATTTACCTCGGCAACAGCAGATTGCCAAGGTTAATTGACAGGCCTGCTTAAGTTCATCAGGAAATATTAAAGATATTCAAGGGTGAGATTCAAGGCCCTTAAAATGAATGCCGAATTTTTTTGTTCTGCACCTAGTGTTCAAAAGAAATATAGCCTAAGGGTGTCAACTATTGATATTGGTGAATGCTCCGACCCCCAGGTGCAGAGCCATGCCCAATTTTTGCCTTTAGCGCCCGAAGGTCACAATTCTGAATGGATTATAACAACTATTTATTTTGGTGCATGCCCCGACCCCCTGGGGCAGTGTCAGACCCACTTTTTTGTTAATATTTTGTCAGTGAATTTGGCAAAACAAACCCAACGCCTAGCCTTCTTTGCCTCTTGTCATATTACACCCATTTCATATTTTATTCTCTTCATTTCAAAAAGTACCATATCAATCAAAGCAGGCATGTGGTTGATATTGCAGCGTTTGCGATGCTCTTGTTGTATTTCTCGATATCCAAGTTTGTGATGAGTTCAATTTTACAAGAGAGAACTATTTTATTCACTGGGATATTAGTTGTACAATGGATTATATTTAACCAGAGGTAATTTCAAACACACAAGTAAGTTTATAATAACCAAAGTTAAGTTGTTTGTTCATAATCAAAGAAATCCGTTTAAAATTTCCGATGGTTCAGACAGTAGGTTAAAATATTTATATGGGTGTTAAATTTCAAATGATGACAAAATATCATTCTACAAAACCAATTAAAACATAACATTATAAGCAAAAGACAACTTAATTTCTTCTTTTCAATTAATATTAACAGATATTGTACTTGCTTCAAAGATTCCTTTTAAATTTTTTGTGTAAAAGTAAACAGAAAGATGTTTTTGACCAGATTTGATACCTGTATAACTTGCTGAGGTATAACATCATGATTTTCTTTCCCAATATTTAAATTCTCTCTATGCATCATTTGTATTTTTCGAAAAACACCAAATATACATGTATATTCTTAATGAAGAAATCAAAATATCAATGATAGATAATCTTCCAGTTTGGATTCCTATCAGATGAAAAGCAGCAAAGATTACTGGTGGTGCTGGCTTTTGACCATATCCAGTTTATATGGTCTCCAGAGGATACTGAATGTTGACAAAAATTCAATTCATCATATGTTCGATATTCCTTTAGTCAGGTTGGGTAATGTACCGGTTTTTGGTTTTTTTGGTATATTGTGATAAAATCATTGGCGAATTTACCATATAGGACTTATTTAAAAATATTGAAAAACCGGTATATCGTGATAATCAAAATTATCGTGATATGATAGTTATTGTGTTCAAATATTGATAATACATATGCTATATCATCACCTTCTCAAGACAATGATGCTGTAGTGCGCAGTATGAAGTCAAAATAGCAATGCAAGAGGTCACGTTTGATGCAAGTACATGTAATCGAGGAACGCTTGTTTGGCAAGGTCAAGATTAAACAGTATTTACCCAAGTCACAACAGTCACTATGTCTTGTAAATATCAAAAAGTAGATTTTAGAACCCTAACCTATTATCGTTATTAACATTTTACTTCAACTAACTTGTACATGACATTCTATTGATAGAATTAAATTCATCAGTAAAACTAGCAAAAGTACCAGCTGGTCTAGGGAAAATCTCCATCATGTCGTCTGTTGACGTTAGCAACAATAATTTGATATCAAGCGACAATTTTTGGCCCAAGTATTCAAAATTTGACTTCTTAAGACAAAATTATAAATTATCACGATAATATCGTTTATCGTGATATTTGATAAATTATTATCACGATATTTTTTTTTTCATTATCGCCAAACCCTAACTTTTAGAGATCCTACTTTCACAATATTTAATTTGCACAGGATTTGATCAGATGGAATATAATTGTTACATCCTTAATTAAAGATATGCCTTAGTTTATATTGAAGAATCTTGATGAATATTGACGAAATTATTGCCCAATCAGCATCTTTTTAAAACTTATGTGCATGGTACCTATTGATTTCTTAACAATATCCACAATTTGTGTTGAATATCAGAACACCAAACCACCTCCTGCTAGGTCTATGTTTTGTTAGTGTGTGTCAGCCCTTGTTACAACTTTAAAGTGCACATAAGATGGTCCCGGAAGATTCGAGATACGTGTAGCCAATGGTTACTATATCCACTTTACGGCAAGTTCACGCCAATCTGGTTGAAATTAATTCAGTTATCTTCATTAAAAGTCGTAAAAATAGACCTTCCATAAAAACTTCTTTGCCAATTATCGAAAACACTCTTAATCCCCTCAGACGCCAGTGACGTCACAGTGACCGAATGCATATTCGGAATGTTTATTCCTTAATTACCTATATACAGCCGGCGTGTGTATTCTTTAACGCCTGAAGGATTCCTTAATCCCCCTAATTAAATAAAACAATTGACTACGGAATAATTTGTTGTGTAATTCATTTTAATTTAAGATCCAATTTAGAGTGCCTACAACTTTTAAACTTTGAAGTCCTGAACTCTTAATTAATTTTTTACAATATTGAACTTATTGGACGAACACTTTTAATATGTAAAAAATATACGGGTCCAGTTATGTGGTTTTTACTGCGAGCACTTCGCTTTTCCACATAAAGTGTAGTGTCGTTAATATCTGTCATTAATTAATCAATCCGACTATAAAAATTATACAGGCATGGGTCATAAATTAATTTCAAGTTGGTGTTAGCAGTGAGTGTTAGTGGGATTAAGAATGTTGATTAGGTAATTATCTTTTTTTTACGCCGGCCAGATCAAAGACATCACTCTCAGTGGAACGTGTGCGTAATACCGCACGAACGAACGACAAAGATTTTCAAGCCATTTTTAAAGCCGTGTTTTAAAGTGATTTTTAGATATATATAAGAACTTTTAATTATTTTAAATCTGTTTTAAAGTGACGTTTAGATATACAAGAACTATTTATTATTTAGTGTTTTTACCTAACTTCTATTTTTTATTTAAGTAAATAACTTAATCAAATCAACCTGTCCATAATATCATGCAATATGTATTGGACGTTAAATTTGTAATAACAACAACAACAGCATTGACAGTTTAATCACTCACCAAACGGCACCAGGAACTCCACGAATGATCCCGTGAAATTTTCGCGCGAAGTTTAACCTCATTTACTACACCCATAGTACATGGAACGGTACATGATAATAAGATACCAAGCGTTGATTGGCAGAGAAATGAGTGCGATCTATTGTACATGTTATGCATAGTCATCGGAAAATGCCATATTCACTGTAGTTGTTCTTTATGTATAGAAATCGTTATTAATATTATATATAGCTAATAATGAATATATCGACAAATGACTGGCACCATTTGTATTTCTGTACTTAAGTTTGGGATATCAAGTATTACGTGGTTATCCAAATTACCGGTAAATGCGCTAATTTCTTGAGTCATCTTCATTTGACACGTGGCCTATTTAAACAAAGACAGCTTAAATTGATCTACGGCATGATACGGCATTTTAAATTCACTCTAAAATATTCCAATCACAAATGTCTAATCTATACCAATGAAAGACGATAATTCGGTGATTATGATTAGGCCAGTCATGTGGTAATTGGACCGTCAATAGACGCTTGCCCAGTTGCTGTGTGTATTGATAGTGCTATATTGTACATATGGTGAGATATTGTATAGATAATGTATATCCTATGTGTAGTGCCTGTGACGTCACCAGCCAATCAACTGGATTAAGGTCGTAATTGAAAAATCGAAAAGCGGTTTGGCGTGTCGGATACTTAAACGTTAACAGCGGACTTAATTTTAATTCGGTGTACACTGCAGAGCTTGTGGCCATTCGTGACACTATATCATGGATTTCCCATCAAAAGACTAGTAAGTTCGTCATTCCAAGCGACTCTCTGAGCAGTCTGATTTCAATCCAAAATGACAACTCAGACTCAAGACCAGAAGTCATTTTGGAAATCAGACAGCTGTACCAGAGGGTTTTAGAGAAGGGAAGCAAAGTAGAACTCGTGTGGATTCCATCACATGTCAACATTAGAGGAAACGAGGAGGCAGATCGACTCGCCAATGAAGGTCTCAAGGACACAGCACCACTCCGCACCATAGACTACAGCACCACGGAAATCTACAGTATGGTCAAAAGACACGTCAATTCAATCTGGGAATTAAATCTCGTTGAACTTGACACATACAGATTCCGGCTGGATGACAAGATCTACACAAAGACAACACTCAATCACCCTAGAAGGGATATTTGTAGACTTATATCGAAGCTAAGGGTGAAAGAGCGGCTGCGAGACTACAAACACTAAGTCATCATCTGTGAGTGCGGAGAAGAATGTACCGCCAACCATGTCCTGGTAGACTGCGAGGTATACGAGGAGGAGAGAAGGGAACTAGTGAGAACAATGGAGACCAACAACATACCATTCAACACTAAGAACCTACTCTTCCCGAGACCAGATCTGAAACTGCAAATCTTCGAACAAATCCACGCCCTAATGGACACAGTTGGACTAAGTAGAATATTGAAGTAAGAGGGGGTCACGGTTAGACGGGCCCGACATCTAAACACGAAACCACATAGGTGATTTATACCAAACTGGCAGGATAGTGGAGTAAGGGGGAGTCACGATCAGACGGACTCGGCATCTAAACACTATTCCACCAAAAACAGACACCAAACCTACAGAGTGGGATAGTTGGAGTAAGGGGAGGTCACGAAAAGACGGGCCTGGCACCTAAACACAAACCCCACAAAGATGACATCTACCAAACTAGCAGGATAGTGGAGTAAGGGGGAGTTACGGTCAGACGAACTTGGCACCTAAACACTATTCCGCAAATAAAACTGATACCAAACCCAGAGAGCGGGATAGTGGAGTAAGGGGAGGCCACGATAAGGCGGACCTGGCACCTAAACACTAACCCCAAACGATGACATCTACTAATCCAGAAGCAGACGAGATCATCTACCAAACGATATGTTTTATATTAAATAAAGGGAAGATTGCAAAATCATATTCTAAAAAACAGGAATCAGCTTCGGCTCTCCTATGTCTTGTCTGCGATATCACTTATGTGGAAGCAGACATTAAACACCAAGAACGAACGAACGAACGAACTTAATTTTAATCAGATTGGTGTGAACTTGCCGTAAAGTTGATATAGTAACCATGGGCTATACATACATGAAATTTAGATTTTTGATCTTAAGTGGTCGTAACCTACATTATAAGAATGTTAACAAATATGCATGAAAACATTGAGATTGTGTGAATAGATTAAATAATATGCCCTCGTATTTCTAACAGAATAAACAATAGTTCTACAATATTTGTAAGCTGATAAATCAAAAGAACGTACCGGTAATAGGTTTGTAAAACTTTCAAATGTACTTTGCTTCCAGGTTATTTGAAGGAACGAGAATAATATCTTTATTTTATTTGCAGTGAGAGTAGTATGTTTGTTACTAAAGATAGGTTTATTTTAAAAACCTGTGGAACTACTACCTTGTTATATGCAGTTAAACCTCTCATTAAATTGGTAAAAGAAAAGTGTAGACTCAAACAGATTCTTGTAAGTTTAATAATATTTGTACCAGTATTACTTGACAGGGAAAAATTGTGTTACTAGAAAATAGAACTAGTAAATTATATATTATGAGGAAAATGCTTTTACTGAAAGAACATTTGCATTAAGTTTTAATAATTTAGTTCAAGACTAGGATTCTAGGAACCATTGATAGAAACTTTGCAGTTTGTTATCTTGAAGTTTTAAATTTCTGTACAGTTCTTTTTTATGATGCCAGAATGGATCTTTGATAAAGATATATCAACACTGACTTCCAAATTGAGCCCAAACCTGAAATTGTTAGATGTTGAGGAAGTTTGGTGTGCTTGTATAAAAAATTCTTTTATTATTTTACAGGATATTTTCTATTCGAGGAAAAATTTCAGTCGTCCTGATTTGCAAATTGGTATGCATAGAAATTTTTCAGATGAGGTATGTAATGTTGTTTTTTTTTCTCATTCAAACCAATGTGTATCCGTGTATGTTTACAGGGTATATTTGTTGCATCACAACACAAGGATTTTGAATTTGAATAGACAGAACTTGTATATTACAGTTTTACAAATATCATTATTGTAAACTGACGTAGGAGTCCTCCATACAATTGATAACAAAAAAGAATTCATCAGTTTTATTACTTTTAACTTCAGGTCAGCCACTTGGATAAGCAATTCAGAAGTGAGTATTTATATTCTGTTGTTCTATTTTTAAATTGAATTGAATTATATTGATTTTCTCATAAAATTCTATACTAAATCTATACAGGCAGCATCTCATTCATCAGCTGGATATATAAAATGGAATTGACAAGCTATAGAGACATTGTTATTGGTGTGCACTGTGCAGCCCATAATAGATACAAAATATCCTAGACGTGATAAATATGTGATCAATCCATTGTTTTCCTAAAGTAGCCTTGTAGAGATTTATATTCAAGGTGACATGATAGAAAGTAAGGTGATAAGATAAAACAACTTATATTACAGGTAACTAAGCCAATAAAAGGTAAAACACCAAGGGCTTATCACCACCAATTTTTTGAAACAATCTCAAAATGACACTCCTTATCACAACCAATCACACCTGATTAAGGTTGAAATATGACACTTATGTGAACCAATTGTACCAAAGGTATTCAAACGGGGTGTTCCCACTTAACCGGCAGGCTTTGAGGTCAAATTTTGCCGCTAATCCAAAGTTAATCCTAGAACAATGGTGTTATAAACTATAGTCCATATCTTTTTTAAGACTAAAACTGTATTGATTTTAACAAATTTAACTTTTATTAAATAACATTAAATAGCTTACACATATAAAAATATATTGATTTTAACAAATTTAATATTTATTAAATAACATTAAATGATTTACACATATAAAAATGCATTACAATTTACACATATAAAAATGCATTACAATTTACACATATAAAAATGCATTACAATTTACACATTTAACTTTTATTAAATAGCATTATATAATTTATAAATAAATGCCTCACAACATAACAATCATTTTACAGCCCCACTAAATAGGAAATATTTGTTCCATACCGATTTACACTTAAAGAGCCATTTAATAACTGTGTTTTCAAATGTTCAATTCTTGTATCAAGTTGTCAATATTTCTTAACGCGAGGCCTATTTATATTAATATAGTGAATTGAATTCATGTTTGAAATCATAACGCTGGCATGAACTGTGTTCAAAATGTCATTAATTAGTTGGTTAATAAATTATATTAAGAGGGATTAAGAGCTCATTAACGCTGAACACTAGTGAACAGTTCTTGAGTGACTACCTTTAAACAGACTATAGTTTTAAGATCAGTCAAAGGATTAACAGTCTGCCGGCTAAGTGGGAACACACCATTCAAACTTGCTGAAAATAGCAGATGTTCTTGACAACTGATTGTACATTTCTTTAAACATTTGACTAATCATACTGGTGTATCATACATGCACATATATTCCAGATTAGGGTTTTGCCTTCATGTGACATTGAATTAATAGGACAATTTTACTCTAACTACAGTACAGTGTCGCTGTTACATTTTGTATACCGGGTAATAATATATATTAAAAAGAAACACACAGAGTAAATAAGTAACAAACATTACAAATTACTCCATATTTTTGTATACCTTTAAAGACATAATTAAATGTCTGGAGTTGTTTACAGCCTGGGTGTACCCATTATCTGTCAGAACATTTAACTTAACAGTGCAAATCATATGATTAAGAATTCAATTATTCAAAGTTCGGAAAACTTTTCATTAGGTTATTCTATTGTTAGTTTATTGGTGCATAATAAAATACTGTTCATATCATGTTTATTGATTTACCAATTATTTATAGATGGTGCAGCTTATAGTCTAGGTAGAATTAATCAAGACTGCTGGTAAGCAATTATTACACAATTACAGTGTTTAACAGTTTAATATAAACACACATATTTATATGGTGGTATATTGTCATTGCCCTTGTCTTTGTTTAATAAATCTACAAAGTTTTTGAAATATTATTATAAAACTTAGATAAACAATATCGAAATTCAATTTGATCATGCATCACTTTATTGCAGAGTTTTTGCCCCTTCATTGTATTAACCTTGTAATCAAAGTCAATAGTTTTGAGAGATATTCCTTTCTGGGATCTAGAGAAATTGTTTTCAACCTTTTTAACAGTGGAGGTAATTGGAAGTAATTATTTTTCAGGTATCTTTATACATTAGATAATGCTGGAGTTGAGAGACCAGACCAAACTTTTGAAATATCCTTGATAATCAATATATTGTTATGACAGTAATCAACTTGAAAACTTTTTCATAGTTTAATCTTTTGCATCTCATCCACGCATTCGTGAAACATTGATAATTATGTTGTTTTACTATGTATTTAAACAAGAAATAATTAAGTGATTTTGAAAAGAGGAAAAACAATTTACTTTGTGAATCATTTGTTTTCCTTAACTTTTGTTACCTGTTAATGTGGGATATGTGTCGTGAAAAGATGAGAGTATTCACCAAGGATGTGTCTGAAAACGGCTTGGATGCTACTAAGGTATTTATATTATAAGCTTAAAACAAAATAAATTTTTAGAGCAGTATTAAAAAAGTTAATTTATTGAACTCCAGTTGAGCTGAATTTCAGACATGAAAAAATTACCTGAATTTCATAGATAAATAGATAGGCCTAATAACATCATTCTTCATAATTTTTGGAAATAACACATTCAACACTCGTTCAGGTATATCTAATTTTAATCATGACTCATTTGAATACAGGATGATTTATCTAATACTACTAAATACCACAGTATGAACCAAATATTAACTAAAAATAAACCAAATGCTAAAAAGTAATAACTTTAGCCATTATTTATGTCTAGTTTTGAACTGAATCATATGTACAAAAATATTTATTGATCTAGTAATATTAAATGATTCTATTTACAGAGATCTGGTATATGTGACATAATACCTGGTGCCAAAATTGATGAATTTCTGTTTGATCCTTGTGGATATTCTATGAATGGTTTACTTCCAGGGGTAAAACTTTTTTTTAAAAAAATTTCCTACATGTTAGAAGTTTACACTCAAAACCTATTTAACAGGTTAACTCTTGTGTATATCTTTAAAAGTCAGGGTTGGTTGAAGTTTGTTTTATCCATTTACTTTATAACTATGTATGACTTTTGATATCAATGTGGCATTTCGGAAACAAAAAAATTCCATCAAAAAGGAGGTCAAGTAACATCTTTGAAATACTGTTATGAAAATGATTTATGGGGAGAAGTGTTATTATAGTTTTTTTATTACAGGGTTATTATATCACCATACATGTAACACCAGAAGAAGAATTTAGCTATGTCAGTTTTGAAAGTAATGTTCCAAGGGTAAGAATTAATTCATCTTAATCAAATCCAAACTTTCCCCAAACAATATACAAAAATGAAGATTCATCTTTGGATTTTTTATACACCCACATTTTCATGTGGACGTTTGTCATTGCCCCTGTCTGTCCGTCCACAATTTGTTTGTGGCCACTAAACAGGTCACAATAGGTTTGTATCCCAAAGATCTCAGTTCCTGGATTATGACCCCTGATTGTACGAAAAATCACGTTTTTAGATTGTGGACCCTCTAGAGATCACAATATTTATACGAATTTAAAAAAAAACGTTTATAATGTATCACGGTTACACCCTAATGACGGTTGACTTCGAAGTTGTGAAAATCAGACAGGAACTGCCTGACAAAATGGCCGCTCCTTGTATGCAAATAGTGTCACAATTTTTATCTGATTTGGATGAAACTTGAAATGTATGATTAAAACCCAAAGATCTTGGTTCCTTTCGATATTTGCGCATACCAGACCATAAATTCTTGGATTATAGCCCATGATTGTACGAAAAATTCCTCTTTTTTTTTTTTTTTTTTAGCTTGTGCTTGTTCTCTATTCATCTCTTGCAAAACGTGGGCCTATCTTGCCTGGCAACCACTGGTTAATCGGATGAATTGTTAAAATTATGGTATTTTCTAACACAAACGGCTCCATTTTAAAGACATGATATTCCAGATTAAAGGGCTAATACTATAGAGACAATGAAAAATCCTAAAACTATTCAGATCAATCAGAACTTACAGACCCATTATTTGCTATTTATTTCATCATTTCCACCATTGTCTTTGGTCCCTGTCTGAAAATATTTTTATTAAAGATACATTATGGGAGATTCGATAACGAATTAGCAGTTCTCACTATAATAGTTAAAAATTAGATAATGTAAAGGCAATTTACTGAAAATTTCAATCAAATTGATCCACTATGAACCGAGAAATAAGCGATCGAAAGTTCCGCATAGTCTCGATTATCCATATAATCGTTAAATCTAGAAGGATAGTTATGCAGCAAATCGGATCATAATCCAACAATTATACAGGCTAGCGTTGACATTGAGAGTTGATTATGGTCTGGATTCATTAATTAATGTGTAATTACTAGTTTATATAACATTTCATGCCTAAAGAAAGACCTATAATAGGCAGAGAGAGAGAGAGAGAAATGGGGTTTAACATCCACTCAACACAAACTAGGTCATTTCGGGACTAACATATGGTTTAATTTTATTTCAATAATTCACTTGCGCGTAGGGGTCTTTAGCAGTGGGAGGAAACCGGAGGACCCGGAGAAAACCCACAAGATTGGACAGGCGACCCTAATCCTTGTCACTACAACCGGGGATTCGAAACCACGCCAGTTTACTCAATGACAGGCCTTATGATACAGCGTGCACATGCTAACCTATAATAGGCAGATTTAGCTCTTGCATAATGTATGTTTAATATCAGATGAACATCAAGGCCAAATTGGTATCTAATTATTCTAATTGGTGTCTAGATAGAATTTAAAGTAAAGAACTATTTTAAGTCATTAGTTTTGTTAAATATAAAAATGATTATTGGCCTCCTGAAACATAGAGGCTTTCACATAAAAAGTAAACTAACTTATAGAAAATATAAATATTGATTTATTTTGTGCACTGTTACAATTATAGTTAATATTTATTAAAGGAATCCTATGATGAACTTGTTAAGAAGGTACTGGAGGTTTTTCGACCAGGAAAATTTTTAATGACCATTTTTGCTAACAAGGTAAATATGAAAATCTTCAAAGAGGAAATGATTATTAATAAATATTAATGTTGTAACTGGATGATGATCTCTGAATATAACAACACAAATCACAACAATAACGCTTAAGAATGATGTTTTCGCAACCAAGTAAAATCACCACAGATCAAATTGAATTTGACAGAATGGGAATGTTGAATATCACAATCCATTGTGCAAACATGGGCTATCAAAAACACAACACAGTTTATATGGAAATACAATCACTGGTTTATAAGTATAGCACGACGTTTCGACAAGTATTCTCTTATCGTTATCAAGCACAAATGATATTTAGTTAAACTAAAAGGTGATATTTATAGTAAAACAAAAAAGAAGCCATAGATAAATGCTGTTATAATACAAGATAATAGTTAAATTGATCAAAGGATAATTAAAACTTAAATATAGTTAATTGATGGGGGTTAACAGTGACCAGGGAGCAACAAAGCCATATGGGCTATCAATTTTAATAAAGTTGGGGTCAGTACAAGTCTAGAGTTCAGAGTATGGTGCAGTGGTGACATGTCACATTATGCCACTTTTCCGATGTCGAGATTTGCAAGTAAAGATTTTATTGCCTCTGGGTTATTGATTTTCTTGTGTCAGTAAATGTCCAGTCTACAATCATTCCAAAAATCACATTTCAGCTGCATTGTCTTGCCAGCACTTCCAATCACATTGGTGGTACATTTTAATTGCAACTCAGTATATTTCTTCTTACATTTTATATATATAATCAACTGGTTTCATTTTCTCTATTTCTAGGCATCAGTTGCTAAAGATTGTCACAAGGAAATAAATGATGCAGAGAGTCTACAGGGCTATGTTCGTCAGGATCATCAATTCTGTATCTTCAAGAATTATAACTTGACTTACACTATGTATAGTCGTCCTATCCTATAGGATACAATGTGCAGGGGTCTCATTAATGATTCTACTTTCCCTAACAAGCTTTCTTTTAATTTCAGGGAGTCCACAAGATTTCTTGATTGTTTGAAAGGATCTCAACTAAAACTGAGATCGGAAAGTAGAAATCAGAGGCCTGACTGCACACATCGTGTATTTTATTCCCGTTATGTTTATCTTATTGCTGTCATTTTAAAAATTATTATGTATTTTGTTCATTTATGGAAGTCGCACCAAAGTTGGAAAAAATATCAAATTCGCTGTGGCTTCATTTTACGCAAACCTAAATAATATTTTTGTCTTATCTTACTATGGTTGAGATCACAATGGCTAATGCTTTACGAGCTGTTTGCCATACAAATAACAGAGTGCAGAGGGGAAATCCCCATCATGATGAGAGGTGTCATGGGATAGAGCTGCACAGTAGAAGTCAATATTTCATCATTCATTGTCATGCTTTTGGCCACTTCTTAAAGTCTCTAATCATCATTTTAGTGATTTTGAATTCCTTGCAAAGTAAACTGCAATATTGTGGAAGTAGTACCTCTCTCTAAAGGAGATGTCAGTCCAAAAATACTTCAGTTCTGTTCAGTATTTACAAAGATAATGAATTGAAAATTTGTTAACATTCTCTGCTGTGAAAGTTGAATCTTTGAAAGGAATTCAGTTAATTAAGAAAAGTCAAAATATCAATGCTAGATTAACTTCTGGCTTGGGTGTAAAATGGGCCTGTGAAAGATTTTCATGAAAATCTTAGGTGGTGCTGGCTGGCTTGCCTTGACTATTTCCCATTGATATCTGTAGAGAATGGCAAATATTGACAATTTTGAATTCATCATATCTTTGTGAATTCAACCATTTTTAACTTTTAAAGATATAAGTTTAAAACCTTTGTATTTTCTATGGAATTAAACATACCTCAAATGACTATCAGAGACTATTAAGTCGTGAATAATATTAGATCTTGTCCAAAATATGAACGTGCAATAAATTGACTAGTAATAAATTTATCGGTGGTCAAGGAAAGCTCATAGAAGATTCTGACTAGATACATATCAATAGTAAACTGGTAAAACATTCAAAAGGTCAGCTAAAACATCTGCCCATTTTCTAAGCAATGAAATATTGATCAAATTTTAGAAGTTAATCAAACCAGACAAAATGGACAGAAGTGGAAGTCATTATTTAGGAATTAGATATTTCAAAGAGGTTTTTCCAGAAGTTACTTATAGTAAATCCTACCTCTATATTTACTGATACTTAGCCTGATGGTAAAACATTTTATCTAGTCTTAATAATATCGACATTGTTCTAAGTTGATATTACTTGAATGGGTTGATCCTGTCCAATAAGAATTTGGTTAAGAAAACTGATTTGCAAACATCTAGAATTTTTGCACCTTTTAGGGTAATAATTGATCTGTTGTTTATAGAGCATTTTTATCTTTGGTTGAGGGAGATAATAACTTTATTGGATTTTTTTGAGAGGGTGAATAAATAAATAATTTTACAAAGAGGTATTGTATATTTATAGATTATTAGAAATGTATATTCACATGTTGTAGAAGTAATTATATCTATCTATAAATTATTAGAAATGAACACTATTAAATATATATAAATTCTCATCCCGGTCTCTAAAAATTGAAAAATTGAAAATCAAATTATTGTATTTAAGTTCATGGATAAAATGATTAACTTAATTCCTATTTAATAAATAGTATCCAGTAATTTATTTTTTAAAATACACCTACTCAATTTTAAGTAGCTTTTACAGCTTACAAATTATTTTATTTTCAGTTTAATAATGTAGTTACTACAAATAAACTAATAGCTTATTACTTAAATAAATATTTACATTCATTCTAAAATATCTCCACCTTTTGTATCCATTAGAATAAAATGTGTTAGGAAGTATATTTTAGCAGCTAGATCAGGTTATTTCACATAGAGAATTTCAAGATCAAAGGAAATTGCCATCATATGATGTAGTAAAACTGTCTTCTTTCAAAGGTATACACTACTGATCATTGTATGTGAACCCACTTTTGAGTTAAAAATACCAAACATGGTGAATTAATTTATTTGTACAGTATATCTGGATTTTTCAACTTTGAAACAGTAGCAGAGATAGGAGGAAAGGAAGTAATCAAGGGCACATGGTGGTGTGCTGTTTCACAAGATGAAGCCTCCAAATAAAAGTCATATTTGTAAGAATGATTCTTTGTCAACCAAGACCGAATTAGGGAATTGCCAGTTTCTTGCAAAATCACTGCATGTTTTCTTTTTTGGACTGTCAGTTAACTTAACTGTGTAATAAATGAAAAAAAAAGACGAAAGGTATCTATACCGGGTTGGCGGATTTGGAAAGGCAAACGAAATACATCAGTTTACAAGAATAAGTTGCCTGAACAAATACTCTGATATTGTGAAAATACCGAATGGACGTATCTGAACTAATTTCCCCAAAACAAACAACTAAATTTTGTCGTCTCCAATAAAGAGTTGCCCATAGTAATCTGGACCTGAATGAATTACTATGAGTGACGGCATTCACTAACATGGTGTTTCAATAAAACGGTGAATTGTCTATTTTCACATAGCCTATAAATTGGGATTAAATTACGAACTTACGTAACTTTCGTTAGCTTTATGAAATACCTCTTGGACTATAACCGAATTGCACGCGACCAGATCACTGAAACTAAAAGAGTAGCCCATGTTAAGTAGCTGTATCGTAAATTCAAAACACCCCTGTTGGGCATGATCACGTTTTGATAAAACAACTTGCACTGAAAAGCAGTAAAATGTGGTTAATATGACCAGGCGCGTGTTTTTTCTCTACTACTTTCACTCGCCCCTGCACTGTAACCCTATACATATGTATGCACCTAAATGAGCAAAGATATTGTCTCCGTGCTTCTAAATTTATCAAATTCGCGGGTAGTTCCCCCAGACCTAACGCCAAACTTGACTCCACCTTGTTACAAGGTTTGGATTCTCCCAGCTCAAATTCCAGATCAGGTCCCCGATGACTACATGTAGGCCTACTGATGTCTTTCCGCCATGCAGCCACACGGTACGACATTAAATTTTGTAGCTAGTACTGATAGAGAACATATATATTTTGCCGGTATGGTCATATATGTCTGTCCTATAAAAACTGTGTAGTTGCAAATGTCAGATAATATATATGTTGGTTATCAGGTATATATAGTCAAGGTGACCAGACATGATTCTACTTGCATTACTTGTACGTGACTAGATGTTTGTTGGCGAAAACATATCATTTTTTTTTTTAAAGTAGGCAATTAGGCATTAAAAAACTAAATATTTTGAAATAGATTAGATGTAGGGCCTATGTGCCGTAATACAATTAATACAAAGTGAAAATGAAATATCAGTTCTGGACAAATGTCACGGGCCCCCCATCAGCAGTGGCGGCGCCAGGGCGGGGGCGGATTTGCCCCCCCCCCCCATTAATCTGGTCTGCCCTCTATTTGCACCCCCCCCCCCCCCCAATAATTTTAGAAAATAAAAAAAAGTATTTGTGATACGTTTCGGTAATCAATACCTTCTACGGTGAATAAATCCCACATCCCCACTCAGTCATAAACTTGCATGTTGTAGAGCATTTCCGACAGTCTATTTTTCAAAATTTTCTTGGCGAGGTGCCCAATGGACTCGCTACTTTGGCGCTCACAAGGGGAATTCGTTGAGGTTCGCAAGTCCGTTCGTTTGACATTTTGTTCTCTATAGTCGGCTAAACTAGTGATCAGGCGACGGACGGTATCTGGTCAGATCTATTTGTCTCGACGATCGGTGCCTGACAGAATACTGTAAGAGAGCATTTCCGGCAGTCTATTTTTCAAAATTTTCTGGGGGAGGACTCCCAACTTTGACGCTCTTGAGTGGGCTTCATCGTGATTCGTTCGTTTGACACTTTACCTCATCGACCAGTGCCTGAAATACTGCCAGGCTGCATTTCCGGCAACCTGTTTTTCAAAATTTTCTGGGGGAGGCCCCCTACCCCTAGTTAAAGCTGGTGCCTTTGCCCCCTTAAACTTGGACTTTGCCCCAGCTTTGCCCCTCCAATCACCGACGGCTGGCGCCGCCACTGCCCACCAGGCCAAAATAGGGGGGAGGTGCAGAAATTTAGATCTTCCGTCTTTGACGGCGTTTTCCATAAAAGACTATTTTACTTAGCAACGACTTGCAGTAGTGGACAGCGGCTCGAGATTTAATCTTCTGTCAGAACTGAGTATCCGCGCCTGCATAGGCCTACTTATTCGACCAAATCTAGACAGCAAATCTAAGATTTGATTGTTTATTTGTTGGCTCTAAGTTATTTTAGTACAGCCAGGAAAAAGGTTAATTATTATGTAATTATTACTTTTATATAATATAATTAATAAATTTACTTGCAAGGACATTATAGAAACTATGGAGACACCTAGTTGATTTATTGAGATGTATACGGTAATAAAAATTGAAGAAGAGTTGTCTCCCGTTTGGTATTCTCCAGTTCACCTGTAAAATTTCTGTGTAAGATGTTGATGAATGTTTGTTGATAAATTATTAATTGTCACATGACACAGACTAATGTATTTTATGTACTATAATCTCTACAATGTTACAAGTACAATCGACTATCTATCTCCTGTTAATATGTGTAGTTGTATCACAGGTAAGAAAAAAACAAAAAAAAACGTAATTTCTATCTGAATCTGATATCATAATTTCAATTTGTTTTAGATGGTTTACCGTAAAATGGTGACATTTATTTACTAATTATACCGGTAGATACATCATACATGGTACATGTATTTCAATAGATAACAAACCTCATCTCTCAACCCCGTCAGTATATCTCAACGTTTTTAGCTACGTTCTCGTAGCAAGTATTTCAAATAGATAACAATAACAAACCTCATCTCTCAACCCGCGGTGTTTGAGATAAGAAGAGATGGTATGGTGGCTGATTGTTATCATGTCTTGGTGTCGCCCTTCATACTGCGACAACCCAACATTTTAACCTGACGACATCACGGTTAAAATGTTGTGATGTCGGGTTGTTGTGTTTTTGGCCACATTCCTCTCAATACTAAGATTAAATTTTCCCTGGGATTTTGCAGCGCGGTTTCTCCATGTCGGCATTGCAGGACAAAGGGCCTGGCAAAGAACTGTGTTTAGTATTGTAGATAGGACAAAAAAAAACAAAAACAACCTCCTGTGTGGCGTGCACATAAAAGAATCCTTCACAGTTGAAATTTGATGAAGAAATGCCACGGTCCATTGGAAATTTCCGTCATATCACTCTGCATAGCGTATGTCAATCTTCAATAGCCCAACTGTTCTGCTCCGGGAGCCACAGTGGCTAAGTGAGTAAGGCACTGAGGTCTCGAGTTCGATTACTGCATTGGTCGAGAAAGCTCACCGGGAATTTTCCGGCGTGATTCCTCTTTACAGTGGTACATGATGGAGGGCCTGGCAGGGGACAATGTATAGCCTTTTGGATGGGACAAAAAATCGAGGTTCCATATACATATTAGTGAGCACATAAAAGTTGGAATTCAATATAAGAGTAGGCCGTAGAGCCGTTATCCGGGCAAAGCTTCCCTCACAATACACTGTATAGCGTATGCCCGTGTTTGGTTGCCCAGTCAGAGCAGAACAGTAGGACATTAAACACCATTTCATTCAATTTTCCTACTTTTCTGCACCAATCAGGCTATTGAAGATAGGTATACGCTATGCAGAGTGCTATGATGGAAATTTTCAATTGACTGTGGCATTTCTTCATCGTAAATCATCTTTGAAGGATTCTTTTATGTGCAAGCCATGGGCATGGATTTAGGGGGGTGGGGGGACGATGGGTCCCCCCCTTAGAATCGGAAGGGGGGGGGGGCGAATAGGTCTCTGTCCCCCCCATGATTTTGATCGCAAGAAAAGATTTTCAGGTTTATGTCCACATGAATGTCTCGTTGTGAAGGCTATCTAACCACTGCCGTTGGTCTCACCACTGAAATTCATCTTCACGATATCCTCCTCCTTAATTGGAGGTAGTCAATTTTACCATATCGTCATCATATTATTATTTTGATTTGGTAATGAAAGGTTCCAGGGTTCGTCAGTCCCCCCCCCCCAAAAGTTATGACAAATACAGAGAGGTCGGCTCTCTTGCACCCTCCCCTGTTTCTCACCCAATATTGCTGAATGATATATCTTATACCATGTTTTTAATATGACTGATTTACACAGATAAAATTAACTTCAGGCCAGTTTTGAAGATTTAAGATGTAAGTGTGTATGTCCAAGAGTAACAGATAAAAATAGTACAAAACCAAACCAAGCTATTTATATCAGTGATAATTTTGATCCAAGTCTATGGTAAGTTAATCCACAATACTGTATTTCTTTCCTGACTTGGAAGTGAAGATTGATCAAAGATATTGAGCTGTTATAATGAATTTTGTGATTGATTCATCAAACCTTACTTGTACAAAAACAACCTTGTTCAAATTAATTCAATTATAATTTCAACAACTGAGCTATGGAACTTATCCTAACTTCTCATTTCTGACGATAGGAAACAAACAACTCTATTCAGTAATAATGAAATTGTCTTTTTATGTCTTTGTCCATTTTTTAGGCTGTTAATTTAACCCAATTTATTTTAAACCCTGCCCCACACTTCTTTTATCTGTTTGTTGGTATTTACTTGTCATGTGTATATTGTTTGTATGTACACTACTATAATGTGTACATATATATATTTATATATAACATATATGGATATGTGTGATGTGATTGGTCTTTGATAATTGAAAGTGACATTTTTAGTCAGTAGACTTAAAGAAATAAAGATGTTGAGCTGTGGTTCACATGGATCACAAGTATGCCATGACCTCCATGCTAGCCAATAGATCGATGATACATTTGTATGGGACAAGGAGGAGATCTCCACACACTCACCTTGTAGATTTTCTCATGTTCAGCTGTTTTCTCCAAGTGAATAATTGGAGTAAATAGACCAAAAAAACCCACAAACATCACAGACAATCCCAAATGTCAACTGAGTGGCAAAGACTTTTACTAGATACCAGACAAGGTGAATACAGAACTGTCAGTTACTCTATTCTGTCACAGGACATCTCACTCACAGATATATATTAACTGATTTACTATCACAACTGTTATCTGAAAACCTGATGATGAACTAGCACTGGTAGGTTGAGTATTACCAAACTGTTATGTTAGAATGTGTGAGATAATTACAATTAATTTTATGAACAAAGTTCTTTGTATTTTTTACACGATTTGTTTTATATTTGCAGTACATGTGATAATGTAGTCAGACCACAGAATCCACAGGAACTATGTCCTAGATGTGAATGTAAATATGAAAGCAGAAACACATCAACTATAAAGGTGAAGCATAATATACTTGGTGTATTTTCTTTTAATATTAATTATAGTCTATATCTTAACTTTGGAATAAATTGTGCAATTTTTTCTTTAATTTCCAATGTTTCCTGAGGTTCTTCGCACAAGTAGGTCTACCCGAATAAACATGAACAAAGGTAAAAAAATACATAGGTATCCAGAAAATACACCCAAATTTGCTCATTTAATCTTAATCTGAATATCTGATATGATTTGAATGACATTACTTTCAAGCTCGAACTTTGATTTCAAAGTCTGAAATAGAGTAAATGCTTTACATCTCTTGAAGTTATTTTAAAATATAATATATGGGAGAACACACTGATCATGTTCTGGGTTCAAATCTAGGCACAGGCCCAAAAGAACTTTAGTGATTCCCATGTCAGGAGTGATGCTTGGAAAGATGGCAAGGATGCATCCTAATAAGATGAAAACAACAATTTGATGTATCCCTTCTTCTTGGTTATGAATTGGTTAGTGTTGACAAAGTATTATAATTATAATAGTTGATACATTGTACATTTCAGGTTGTAGTAATATTTATAATATGTGTGGTATCTCTATTATTTGTCTACATGTTGTTCCTACTATGTCTGGATCCACTGATAGCTCATCGACCAACTCGTTACATAGAACATGCAGATGAGGAGGTGAACTTGGTAATCCTTTGGCTGTGGCAAATGGCTTTTACTAATCTTTTAAAACATTAATGCATGCGTTTATACTTGCGGTGGCCCAGACCTAAGCTACGTGTAGTTGCGGGGAAGTTTGTGCTGAAGGCTAGTTTCCATATGGTGGTCAAGTGTTTGCTGTGACTGCATTATTTTGTTTATAATGTGGTCCTTAGCAATAGGTTACCATAAAATCACCACACACAAATAATTGCCCCATAAATATACTCTTATACCCATATTTTATTTGTAGTCATAAAGATTCTTTAGTTCCATAAAATACTAGTAGCCTAATTGTAAGTTTATAAAATAGAAATTGAATTATAACAAAGGGTTATATTAATGAAATAATATAATAACAAATATAGTTTTTAAACTATTTATATAATACTATAACTGAATACAGCAATGGCTATTACATTTAAAATTATAATTGGCTTGAATCCCACTCTCAATGGAATAACCCTTATAGTGCAAATTGTAACATTCATATACAGTACAATACATGGGCTTCAGCAATGAGTCTACTTTAACATAGATATATACATGTATTTACATATTGCATGGATTTATAATGCAATGTAGTTTTGTTTATTATTGTATTACATTATTCCCACTTTCTACCAGCCCCATGTTCTGTGTGTCATTTTCTGCTGTTTATTTAATCCTGAAAGAGTTTCCTCTCAAGGCTTTGCAAAAAAAAATTAAATAAATAAACACTGCAATGTGCTTAGATAGGTTTAACCTATATAGTGATATATAATTTAAATAATGTAAATTTCATTTGAAAAGTTCTCAATAAATATGGCAATGCTCTTATAAGGATTCACCAAACCTAAGCAGAACATGAATTTAGAATATGGGCTTATGTCAGGAATTATATGTTTAGTATCGAGCTGTATTTTATTGTGTTTATTAGTACATTTATTTCAGTTTATATTTAGACCTGTAGACGTATATTGTTGTCGCCCCTGTCCGTCCGTCTGTCCGTCCACAATTTGTTTGTGGACACTCTACAGGGCACAATTTTTATCTAATTTTGACCTAACTTGAAGTTGAAATGTAGGTTCCTTTCGATATTGGCATGTATCGGATCAAAACTTCATGGATTATGGCCCCTGATTGTACGAAAAATCATGTTTTTAGCTTGTGGACACTCATATAAATTCCTTTCGATATTTGCGCATATCGGATCGTAACTTCCTGAATTATGGCCCCCGATTGTACGAAAAATCATGTTTTTAGTTTGTGGTCCCTCAAGAGGTCACAATTATTATCTGATTTAAAAAAACATTTGAATATATCACGATTACACCGTAATGTCGGTTGAGTTTGAATTTCATGAAAATCGGACCAAAACTAACGCACAAAATGGCCGCCTCTCGTACACAAATAGTGTAGAGGTCACAATTATTATTTATAGTGTAAAAGTATGTAATACCAAGGTTGTGGTCACTCTAGCTATAAGTCGCAATTTTTATCTGATTTTGATGAAACTTGAAATGTATAAGAATAATCCAAAGATATTTGCGCATATTGGACCGTAACTTCCTGGATTATGGCCCCTGATTTTATGAAAAATCACGTTTTTAGCTTGGGGACCTTCTAGAGGTCACAATTTTTATCCGATTTTAAACAGTGTTTCAATGTATCACCATTACACCCTAGTGACGGTTGAGTTTGAGTTTCGTGAAAATCGAACCGAAACTTCAGACAGAGTGGTCGCTCCTTGTACGAAAATAGTGTAAAAGTATGTAATACTAAGTTTGTGGACTCTCTAGAAGTCACAATTTTTATCCAATTTTGATGAAATTTAAAATATATCTTTATATCCCAAATGTCTATTTTCTATTCTGATATTTGCGCATTTCAGACCATAACTTCCTTCCTGGATTATGGTCCCTGAGTGTACAAAAAATTTGCTTTTTTTTTTTAGCTTGTCCTCTATCCATATCTTGTAAAATGTGGGCGTTTCTTGCCTGGCAACTGCTGGGTTTTTTTTAATTTTTAGTTTATATTCGATTTAAACTGAATAAGTGAAGTCCTTTTGGTCAAAAGTTTGATTTTTTCACAAAATGTACCGGGTAGCAAGAATTATTAGATATGAAAATATTCATTCACAGTGAGTCGCCCAGGAAATTTAGAAGACTGTTATACTCATTCGACGCCACTTTTCAACCAATCAGAATCCAAGAAATTTCCATTTTGGGCTACAATTTGTATTATACATATGAACATCTTCATCTACCTACAGTTATATTGTATAATCCTTCTTTCTATGTTTTTATTCTCATAATTCTTTCTAAGCCTTAACCCTCTGTGTCTCCCTTTATTTATGTAAAAATTTTCGTTTTCTTAAAAACTTATTTTGTATTTTGTTAAAAGATTAATAATTTGATTATTTGGATTTCATTTAAATTTGCTTCCTTAAATATCATTTTTAGATAATAGTGAATGTGAACACAAAGCAAATTTTCTTTTCCTTCCATACAAATATTAACATTTCTTACAATTCATAATTTCAGGATGACCCGACTTCATCTCATATGGCACATGTCAATCCATCATTAGCTCGTCAACGTTCTATTATCAACAGAGTTACTAATGAACAAAAAAAATGGAAAGGAACAGTTCAAGAACAAAGGAGAAATATTTATGATAGACATGCAATGTTAAATTGATCAATATTTCAAAATGTTATAGTGTACATGCACCTCCGTTTAAAGGTATTTACATTGGGGAATGCAATTGTCTCTGCGAGTGTATTTTGAATATGAAATTGGTGAGTGCTTATAATCATCAAAGATTTTTTTTAAAAAAAATGACTAAGTATGCTTAGAGCAAAATACTTTAAGTCTTTAATTATCTACTTGAAAAGTATGACACAATTTGTATTTTAGTGACACCGATGTTCAATATATTGAAAAGCACAATAAACCAGATCATTCACAGGTCACAAAATCCCCAAATATTTACTGTTTTCATGTAGAGAATGTTATTAGTAGTTCAACATGTTCGAGTATCAAGAAAAAAAAATGTTATTAATAATTTGCTGGTTCGAAAAGTTTGCAGAATTATTATTACACATAAATATTTCAGTCTGAAATGAGTAGAAACCAATGCAATCTTGACTCCGTCAACATTTCTGGAACGAAGTATGTTTTTTTAATAAAATTACTTTTAATGGTGTTTGGTCTTAAACCCCATATTTAACCTTTTTTTCTGACATGTTGGGCCTTTAATTTCAAACTGTGTCCTCTTAAGAAAAAAAGACTTTTTGTAGGCTACTTTTCTTTAGTTATCAGAAGTGAATAATAACACTTTTTAATCAAGTCCACCAAACTTATTCGCTGATTTAAGCGGACATGTAAACTCTTAAACTTGTACATACTTTCAGAGACCGTACCTAGGTGAAATTTCTTTATATTTCATTTGGTGTTCCAGTTCCAATTTCTTATGATAGTTTATTTGATGATATTATTTGTATATATTAGAATAATGAATATAATTTTAAACTATGATTCGGTTATTGTACATATCTCATTTATCATTCAATATATCAAAATAAATAATAATATTTCATGTTTTGTATATTGTGAATTATATATTTATTGTTAGTTATTATATAGATATTAAAATACTTGATATAACTGTACTAATTTATGCATTTTGTTTTTCTGTTGAGCTACAATTTAATGATGTATGTTAATCCCTATAATGCTTAAGTGTGACTTGGAGTAATCAAACCTCTCTAAGATAATTATACCATAAGTCGAGATTATTCTAGATCCATCTTATCCTAAACCTACTTCAGTCGAACCTGTATATTTAAATGAATTGCTTTATTTTTGGCAGAAAAGATATTGAACTAAGATTTATAGAAATATTGGCCATTTATATAATTCTGACAATGTTATTATGCAGGGCTGTCTTAACGTGTACAGGGGGTTGGATGGCCGAATGGTTAGCACGCGCACGCTGTATCATACGGTCTGTCATTGAGTCAACTGGCAGGGTTTCGATTCCCCGGTTGTGCGTGGCAAGGAGTAGGGTCGCCTGTCCGACCTCGTGGGTTTTCTCCCGGTCCTCCGGTTTCCTCCCACTGCCAAAGACCCCTACGTGCAAGCGAATTATTGAAATAAAATTGAACCATGTGTTAGTCCCGAAATGACCTAGTTTGTGTCGAGTGGACATTAAACCCCATTTCTCTCTCTCTCTCTCTCTCGGTAGCATTACAGGCCCCCAGGCAAGGCAGTCCACTGGCACCCCTACTAGTGATCTATGCAGATGGTACACAACTGTATATTGCTTGAGACTCCCGAACTAACTACACATATTCTGTATTATATCGAATTGATACGTGTATAGACAAAATCTGTCATTGGATGCAAGAAAATTTACTCGCATTGAATGACCAAAAGACAGAAGTACCATGGTTTTCATCGCACTTCAAGGATCTCGGTAATCGGGCAGTTGCAATTGATGTCCAGATTGGTGATGTTTGAATTTCAGTCGAGTTCTTGACTATGACCAAATGATACATCCGGCAAATTTGAGGCGATTAAATTTTAATATTAAATATAGGCATATAAAAATATGTCAGAAAATAAATTATCTGTAAAGTGATAAGAAAGGTGATGTAATGTATCTAGGGGCTTATAAAAAAATACTAAAAAAAGAATTTTCAAACAAAACAACATTTTATTCCTTGTTTAAGGATGTATTAAGTTTTAACAATAGTTTATAATATTCCAAATTTTTAATTTATTTTGGTGAAGAAGAACAATGTTCTGTGTATACTAAATGGAGTTTCAAATGGTTTTAATGCATAAATTTGTGTACATTTGAAGTAACTTGATACAACTATAATGGTTATTAGTTTTATACATGTATCTTGTAGATTGATCAATATTTCTCCATGGTAAGATTCATAATATTATCATACTCAAAGTACAATTTAAATTGATGGACAACAGATGACAATAGTAAAGATAGAATTACTTTGTCTTTCAAAGTTACATTATACAGAAGGGTACAATATAGTTAAATGTATTCATATTATTCCAAACAAAATTTGTTGATGCAATTAGCAATATTACATGCAGCAATCAATCTAGTTAAAATAAGATGTCAATTACATTTCGTTTTAACATCAGCCATAATTTCTTGGATTAGGGTTATTACAGGGATTTTAAAATCACCAATCTGGTGGATCTGATGGATTTTTGGTTATGGTACCGATTCATATTCAATAACATAGAACTGTCACTGACAAAGCAGGGTTGTGATAGAAAGTGTAAAAATAAATTAAATGCAATTGTAATCTAATTTCAATTAGATTGATGTAGCAATACAACTCAGCAATGCATGTTAGAATAGGCAGTTGATATTTACACCCTGAAATGTCCATCAATTCTTTTACATGTAGATACAATAATCATGCATTACTATTAGTGACATATATTTTTGATTAGCATTGAATAGTGCAATTTGAGATCAAACAGAATGGCCAGCTAAACAAAATAGAAGCACATAAAAAAGGGCACAATTTATAGTTGCTCCATTATCAAATACACTTTTTAAAGCCACTGATCATCATTTCCATTTTTCAGACAATATCTAAATTCTCATGGGTTAATCTATGCTGAACGTACTGACATTGATTATTTAACATTTAATTAAAAATGCATCATGTAAGAGCTAAATCTACCTATTGCACGTCTTCATTTAGCCATTTATTCACATGACAAGCCCATAATCAATGTTCTAGACCATCAGATAGCTGTGATATTTAATGTATTAGAACTAATGTTTCTTTCAGAGATTCAATTTTCACAATGCTGTAGTTTGCGAGAGAATAAAAATCCCTCAAATGATGCTCAGTGACTTTAAAACAAAAATAAAACATTACCCAATGATATCAATAATGTCAGATCTTGGTTAAGTATTAATAGCCTTTGACAAAACGTTGCCAATATAAGACCACACAAAACATTTTATTTTTGTACTGTGGGTATAAATAAAGAGATTATAGATGCTGTATTTCTTCTTCTTTTGGAGTAGTGTTTTTTAGTATTTCATACATTTGATTATATGTTCTTTCGGAAGAAAAAAGATATACATATATGATAAAAAAAAAATGGGGGTTTTTTTTAGAGGAGGGGGGAAGAGATTGAAATATATAAGTTAATAGTAAAACAACAGATAGCAACAATTACATCAATATCACATTATGTAGATATGGTGACAAAACAGAAAACAAGCACCATTTAAAGCAACCAAGACACATTTGCAGAATAATACCTAATATGTGCATACAATAATAGTTGTAATAACATCATTCATGATAAATATGACCATTGCATGAGTTTTTGTTTTTCCCAAATGAAATCTTCAATATGGATGTCAGATGAGATAGATACACAGCAGACCAATAAACAGGTTTAAGAAATTCATTTTAATTCTTTAAATGTTAATCAGCTTGTTGTAAGCCAATAAAGGTATACATAACACAGAAGAGATACCTTGTGCATGTTGTTATGAAAATTAATTTGGGTTAAAACATAATATTGAGTAGGGAATTGACTACAGATATGCATGTTCAATTCACCACAAATTTAGCCTCATATATTTCAGAGGCCCATTTAATTCATTTTGTGAACTTAATTTCTTTTAACTCTAAAACTACAGAATAAATTGTTTCAATGGCATTTAGTAATTAAACTGGAATATACAGGTCACAATTCTATGGAATACAATTACAGCTTATTACTGAGCTTGATAATGACTAGAGAAGCCTAGTCGAAAGCCACTCAGTACTAAGCAGTAATTGTATTTTTTGATATTCATTTACTTTCTAACAATGCATCATATATTTATCATCTTTCTTTTAAAATTATTTTAAATAATTTTATCATTTAAATAATTTATCAATATTTACTTGTTGTACAGCTCATCAGAGCCCTTTGGTGCTATATAAATGTTTATTATAATAATAAAATAATAATAAATGTTTATTAGATCTATAATAACAAAACAAATTCCAATATACTATGGTAATGTCTACATGTGTTGGATAGATATATGTCAATAATTATGCAAATATATGTGTCGTATCACTTTGGGTAATCCAATTTTTATTTTACCAGAAACGGACATGATCAGGCACTCCATATTTAATTCCCCCAAAATCTACATCCTTAAATGTCAATCCATATGGGTTCTTAAACTCCACATACACATAAAATTACATTTTTACAGGCACAACTTAACCTTCTCTTCTTTTATTTGGTTAATAAAAAACGTATACACAGAAGATCAGCGAAAAAAAAAAAAAAATTGTCATCCCTACCATCAGGTGGTTCCCAACCCTGCAATGTGTCTAAGGAAAGGTTCTACTAGAAACAGTGCATCTATGTAATTAGATTTTACTAATGAAAATACTACTCTTCATCCAACAAAATAAAAGTTTTTGTCTCTGACTGTCCATAATTGAAATCTCCTGCTACATATTAGAGGAGTCAGTTCAGTATTAAACAAACACCATCATATCCCATCAATCAAATCAACTTAATTAATATATTAATGAATAGACTAAGAGCAAATTAACATTGGCAATTAATGGCAAAGATGTTAAAAAGAACTCACAGCATGCCAAAACAAAAATGTGTGTATTAATAAATTACTGTTTAGTTTTATTAAAGAATAAATGAAATGAAATGAAATGGGGTTTAATGTCCTACAGTTGTGCTCTGACTGGGCTAATGAAGACAAAGATACCTAGTTGATTACATTAATTAAGTATGGAAGATAGTGATATATATTTACTCCTATAATATTAAGTAGCATGTAAATATTATATACCGGTATATATAACATAAATATACATGCATTAAATATGAAATTAAATACATGGTATAACTGAACTGTATCTACAGTATATATCTGATAGTCTATACATTAATGTTGTATGATGTCATTTTTATCAGGCAATATCAAATATTAACAATGAATGTGATGTTCAGACCTACTTAGTCTTTGGTTATGGTACTGAAATGATGAATGTATAACAATAAGTTCCTTGCCTAAATCAAACACATATTATGGAATCATCAATGCACTTCCAAATAAAATGTGGTGAGTCCATGTTCAGATCTAGATGCATTATGCAAGTGGTTTAATTCTTAACAATCATTAACTGTTTAATCGTTTAATTATCAATTAGGCTCCAAATACTATGTAAAATCTAGTAACATATATATGTATATTTTGATTTAATACAAGGCTGCTCATACAGGTGTTATTCTTGGTTTGAATTTGAATCTTCGATAAAATATTTGGTACAACTTGACCAAAAGTTACAAAATAATCATTCAAAGAAACTTAAATAGTTTGATAATTTAAATACTGATTTGTAATGTGTATAAAGAGACTAGAATAATCTAATCTATGTAGATATCTTCTGTTGGATGTGTGAATGCCATGTATTCTTGGTAAAATCTCTTGAAGGCAAAGCTGAAAAAAGAAAAAAGATACAGAATAAAAGAGCCATAATTAAGATGGTGATGTACCATAAATAATGAATTCATATAAGACCACAAATCTTGAATGTAAATGGTTAAGAACTAAACTTCTTGAATTCAAGGACCAAAAACCTTAGGCTAGAACATATAGTTGGACATGGTAGTAATTAATCAAGCATGTTTAATGCAATTCACAGTCATAAAGCCCAACATTCATTATCTTTAAAACATTACTTACCCTAAAGCATCTGTAACTTTGTGAGTTGATTTTTCACCCAAAAATACATGACATGCAAATCTCTGATCTGATGGGTGTTTAGTTATGAATGCAAAATACCTAAAAAAATTATATAACACTTTCCTTCAAAATTTACACAAAATTCAATTCTTTTAAGACCAGCAGTTGCCAGGCAAGATACACCCACATTTTGCAAGAGATGGACAGAGAACAAGCTAAAACAAAGAAAGTGTTTTTTGTACAATCAGGGACCATAATCCAGGAAGTTATGGTCTGAAATGCATGAATATCAAAAGGTACTAAGATATTTTGGATATAAAGATATATTTTAAGTTTCATCAAAATTGGATAAAAATATTGACTTCTAGAGTATTACATACTTTTACGCTATTTGCGTACAAGGAGCAGACATTTTGTCAGGCAGTTTCACGAAATTCGAACTCAACTGTCATCAGGATGTAACTGATACTTTTAAAAAAAAAATTTAAAATTGGATAAAAATTGTGACTTCTAGAGGGTCTACAATTTAAAAACGTGATTTTTATACGCCCACATTTTTTTGTGGACGTATTATGCCGTCGCCCCCTGTCTATCCGTCACAATTTGTTTGTGGACACTCGCTACAGGTCACAATATTTATCCGATTTTGACGAAACTTGATATATAGGTGGATCTCCCAAAGATCTCGGTTCCTTTTGAAATTGGCATGTATCGTACCATAACTTCATGGATTATGGCCCCTGATTGTATGAACCAGTGGCTGCCAGGTAGGATACGCCCACATTTTCGAGAGATGGATAGAGAACAAGCTAAAAACGCGATTTTTCCTACAATCAAGGACCATAATTCAGGAAATTACATTTCGATATGCGCAAATATAAAAAGAAACCGAGATCTTTGTGTTATAAACTTACATTTCAAGTTTCAACAAAATTGGATTACAACTGTGACCTCTATAAGGTCCACAACCTTGATATACCATATTTTAACGCCATTTGAGAACGAAGGGCGGCCATTTTGTCTGTCAGTTTTGGAACGATTTTCACGAAATCAGAACTCAGCCATCCTTAGGGTGTAACGGTGATATAGTAAAATGTTTTTTTAAATCAGATAAAAATTATGACCTCTATAGGGTCCACAAGCTAAAAACGTGATTTTTCGTACAATCAGGGGGCCATAATTCAGGAAGTTACAATCCGATATGCGCGAATATCGAAAGGAACCTTTGGGTTTTGGTTTTAAACTTACATTTCAAGTTTCAACAAAATCGGATAAAAATTGTGACCTCCATAGGGTCCACAACCTTGATATATCATATTTTTACGCTATTTGAGAACGAAGGGCGGTCATTTTGTCTGTCAGTTTTGGGCCGATTTTCACGAAATTTGAACTCAGCCATCCTTAGGGTGTAACGGTGATATAATAATGCGTTTTTTTAAATCGGAAAAATTATGACCTCTATAGGGTCCACAAGCTAAAAATGCGATTTTTCGTACAAACAGGGGCCATAATTCAGGAAGTTATGGTCCTATATGCGAAAATATCGAAAGGAACCAAGATCTTTTAGTTATAAACATGCATTTCAAGTTTCATCAAAACAAATTAAAAGTCCACAAAAGTCCACAACCTTGATATACCATATTTTTACACTATTCGCGTACAAGCGGCGGCCATTTTGTCCATCAGTTTTGGTCCGATTTTCGAAATTCGAACTCAACCTTTATTACGGTGTAACGGTGATATACTAAAACGTTTTTTTAAATTGGATAAAAATTGTGACCTCTGGAGGAACCACAAGCCAAAAACACGATTTTTCGGACAATCAGGGGCCATAATACGAAAAATCGTGTTTTTAGCTTGTGGTAACTCCAGAGGTCACTATTATTATTCGATTTAAAAAAACGTTCGAATATATCATTTTTATCCTGTATAGTGTCGATTGAGTTCGAATTTTGTGAAAATCGGACCAAAACTGAAGGACAGAATGGCCGCCCCTCGTACGCAAATAGTGTAAAAATATGGTATATCTAGAGGTCGTCTAGATAGTTTCTTATAGTGTGCCAGCTTGATTTACTATTATCGTGCGGTGAATATCCTTACAGTGTGCTGGTTTATAGTGTGCCGGGTTTCCATATGTTAATAAGTCACATGATAGATATCCTACATTTGCATATGAAAGTTTATGCTGTGAAGCGTGAAGGATAAATGGGATATGGCACAGCGCAAATGTAAAATGTAATGAGAGAAATGTAAAATGTAGACAGGTCAAAAAAAGCATTTTCCCACAAAACATTTGCCATTTGACACTTAACATTTTACATTTAACTCTTGCCTTAGAGGTATTTTGACTTTATCCTTATCGGTATTAGTACTTTGTACTTTTTACATATAAGCAATGGAAACGACATTGTCGCAGAGCATTTAATATTGGCAGCGATTCCCTTCCATATTAATAAAGTGTTTAAAAATGCATTCTGTAAGAGCTAAATCTGCCTATTGCAGTTTTTTATTTTGGCTTCAAATGTTATATAAACTATTATTTATGTTAATTAATGTTTTGTACTGCTAATTATTATGAGCGAAAATTGTTTTAACGTCCACTTGACACAAATTAGGTCATTTCGGGACAAACATATGGTTAAATATTATTTCAATAATTTGCTGGTGCATATAGGGGTCTTTAGCTGCAGGAGGATCTGGAGAAAACCCACCAGGTTGGACAGGCGACATAGGTTGTCACATAGAAGCGAGGAATTGAAATCACGACACTTGACTCAATGACAGACCTTATGATCAAAATCGCATGCTTTAAATCACTCAGCGACCCAACCAGCCCCAGAATTTTTATGATGTTCTCAGATGATTCAACAAATATAACCATACATCAAACCTTACCTGTCATTTCTGGGATGTGTACCACAAAATGAAATATTCTTCAGGGCAAAAAAGTGGGAAAAATGATCGCTTTCATGCTGAAAAATAAATAAATAATAATAATTAAAAAGATGTTATAACTTCAAAGATCTGTCACCTTGAATTGAATATGCAGCCATATGAATATGCAGCCATTTGTGAGAGATCTGTAAATCCATCACTGATATAATAGTTGTTTTAAGATATTGTCGAATTAACACATATAGTGTAGTCTGAATAGTTTTTTCATAATTATAAGTTTCCATTATTTCTGGTCCTATTTCTAACTCTGCCCATACTACTTTGAGATCATTATTTTCTTGTTATTTTCTTGTTAATGTGGATTTCAATATTTTTTTGATGGGTTTGGTGTGCTGTCCCTTTATTCCTTTCTCTTTATAAACATATATCAGCATTCATAGTGGTGAAAGGTGGATATCGGCAGACATCGACAAAATGTCTTTCGAGTCAAGTTTTTGTATTTCATTGCTGCAAATTAGTATTCTGAACATGTGCCTTTCATTAAATTTATTTCAATAATTCGCTTGCGGGTAGAGATCTTTACCTGTAGGAGGATACAGAGACAATCCATAGAGTTAGACAGGCGACCCTACTCCTTGTCACATACAAGCGGGCAATTGAAACCACATCAATTGTCTCAATGACAGACCTTGTGATCTAACGCGCACACAGCTAAACCCTTCTCTATGAATAACGTGTTAATTAAAAGCTCATTATAATCAAGTATCTCTTTGAAATACCTATTTCATTTCAGACATATAATACTTACCCCTTCTTTACTTTTATCAATCATTCTAATACCATATTGACTGATTTCTAGTGAACAAACAGGTGGTGGCGATGTCGTTAAATTAGATCTTCTAGTTAGTGCAACCTATTATCATATTACATATTATATAATAACATCAGAACCAAATTTATATTTTATTATTTTATAACAGTCAACCATATAATGTCTTTCTAAACATACCCCCAGAATTTTCACTTCAAATAAAATTTCATTAGCAATATTCAAGCTTCATAATGAACTGTCATTGAAAACCATTCAATTTCAGCTTTCTTCTTTGAGTTACGAGTCAATCATTGGTAGGACATTTAAGGATCATTGCTGTTGTTGTTGGTGATGTTTAACCTCCGCTTCCACCCAGGGTGATATCGCAGACAATTATTTTTATTATCTTAGCGCACGCGCAGGGGTCTTTCCTGTTGAAACAAACCTACGATGTTTCAGGCACTGAACGTCGAAATATATAGAGCTTTTTTTTTTACTCTGAAAATTATAAACACCACTACAGGCAGAAATGCAATAATTTAATAATTATGTGCAGGCTGCAATCAGAACACCCAAGAAAAATTAATTTTGATGCAAACTATTGTTAAATCATTCCCTAATTCAAAGGAGGAGAATTCTTGCATTTTTGTATTCTTTAGCTAGGATCGACCACATTGTCCAGGTCCAACTTCATTGCCCACTCCCTGTGGAAACTTATTACAGTCAAGTTGCGGAGACGCTTGTCACCAGATACAGCCTGTCGTCTAATAACTAACTTATCCGACCAGAGAGGAAAGTGTCAGACGAACGGAGTGAGTGAATCAAAGTGAATGAGTATTCTTGCCACATTGAATCTATACCCCCAAACTTTGAGGATCATAAAAAGCACTTCTTAAGTGGTTCGCGTATTATTGTTTATAGTAGGTTTACAACAGCAGGTTGGGTTTGGTAAGAAATCACTCTGACTCTACAACATGCAAGTCTATGACTGAGTGGGAACGTGGGATTTAATCACTATAGAAGGGACTGATTACTGAAACATATCACAAATATTTTGTTTTATTTTTTAAAATTATTGGGGGTTGGGGGGTCAAACAGGGAGCAGACCAGATTTAAGGGGGTCAAATTCCCCCCGCCCCTGCCCCCCCGCTTGCCACAGCCACTGGCCTCTAACGTGAATAGCTGTGAACTATTTAAAGATCGTATACTAGTTTTGTGATAGGGAGCAGTAGTTTCAGTCTGTTTTTAAAATGAGCTACAAAACTTAATGCAAAAGAGATCACTTGTAACTATTTTTCCAGGATATGGGAAAGTAGTCCATATTTTCATGTACCAGGTTCTAACCTTATTAACAGCTTGACATAAAACTTCATCTCCTTTATGACATGTAACTTCAACCGAACCCAGAAACTGTAGGTTGTATTTTCTAAACTCGCCTTCATCTGAAATGGAGAAAATGTAAATTAAATAGACAATATCACTTTTACCCCCAAAAATAAATAAATATATCTCCCCTTCCATACTGAATCTAACCTTCTTACCTAGCAATCTAATATAAACTTGCCAGTGTGATTTTGTTTTAATTACCCTACAGTCTGGATTTTATTTGTTTTAGAGTAACTGTGGTAGCAGTGTATACTGATAGTCACTTAAAGATACATTATGTAAGATTTAGATAAAGAGCTGACCATTCTTGCTATAATAGCTCAAAAATAGATAATGTAAAATAAAAATTTCATTCAAATTACTTTATTCTGAGCCAAGTTATCACTGTTTTACAATATGTGTGCATTGTGGTAATAAGGGCATTGATATATTCGAGACAGCCTCGCTTTCCCATTTTTAAATTAAATTTTTAAATGGCAAGCCTTTTTAATCTAGTTAAAATATTGAGTGTCCGAAGTCATGGAGAGTTGATTATGGTCTTGTTTTGTTAATAAATGTCTAATTAACAGTTTATATAACATTTCAGGCCTAAAGAAAGACTTGCAATAGGCAGATTTAGCTCTTGCAAAATGTATGTTTAAGTATCAATGTCTGAAGACAGCATTTCTAATTAATTGATGTCTATAGTTCCAATTTCAACTAACATGATTGCGCATTTCCATTTCACATACACAAAAAAAAATGCATATAATAGAGGGAGAGAAATGTGAGTTTAAAGTTCATTTGACACAGAATAAGTCATTTTGGGACTAACATATGGCTTGATTTTATTTCAATAATTCGCTTGAGCGTAGGATCCACGAGATTGAACAGGCAACCCAACTCTTTATCAGTACAAGTGGGGAATCTAACCACATCACTTGAATAAAGGAATAAGGAATAAAAGATATCTTAAAACATTGTGAAACTACATCTATAATGGAACTTGGGAGACTATATATACTGTGTGATTAAAATTCCCTTACCTTCTGATTCTTCTTCATCTTCTAGGAAATGTAGATCAGTAGCATACATGGCTGGAAATAGTCCTTTCTGACCAGTTCTTAGATTAATGCCTATAAGACAAATTTATATGAAAAAGAATAATCAAAATGTTAGCAATAATTTTGGGAAATCATAACACATGGTCTTCTATTCACTGATATTATAAAAGTACATGTCATACACCTACTGAGAAACTTACCGTTACACCACAAATCATCTCCTTCTTTGGTTACATGTATAGGATCACCTATTTCTATCATCATCTCATCCTCATGTCTTGTTATAAAACGATGCATACCTCGATGTGTAACTTCCAATTCATGTTGTTCTAAACATATATAACTTGATGAGGTAGACTGTCTCTTAAACCCTTAAATAGCACATTACAAAATCAATGAATACACTTTTATTGACATATAGGGTCCTAAAAGTCTAGAAAATTCATTCCAGACAAATCTAAGAGCTATTTTTCAAAGCTGATCTACACTACAGTCCAAAACATGTAATGGTGTCTCCTGGTTACAAACAGCATGGACCTGCGGTAATATTTCATCCACTTCACAAACCCCCAAGAATTCCAGTCTATGAAGCTGTATGTCAGACTGGGATGCCACAGACAGCCCCACAGTGGGATTCAAGTAGGATCCTACAATCCAACAGCTTGACACCAATTGTCATGGGATTTAATGTAATCATAGAATATGACTTAATAAAATTGTTTTTATCATGTTGTCTAAGACTCTTACTAAATCAAGTAACCTATCTTTACACTCAATTTATTTATATCGACCCAACAATATATTGCCCAATATAAGCTTATCTCCATGCTTCCATTAGATTTCTATAAATTAACGAAAGACTCATGAATAATTAATAAAGCATCAAATGCAATTTATTGTCTGAGCCCTAGCATACAGTTAGATAAACAATACTGGATTGTGACAAAATGATCAGTGAAGTAGAATAGTAATTTCATCAATAGGTTCTATGGTTGAATATAATACATACTGTAACGAAATGAATAAGAATTATTCATGAATTTGAGCTTAATGTTATAGCATTGTAGTATAAATATCAGTGATAAGTAAATGGAGAGAGAGAGAGAGAAAATTGTGTCCACTCAACACAAACTAGGTCATTTTGGAACTAACATATAGTTCAATTTCTTTCAAATATTTGCTTTCGCGTAGGGGCTTTAGCTGTGGGAGAAAATCAGAGGCCCCGGAGAAAACACACAAGGTTGGAAAGGCGATCCTACTCCATGTCACGTACAAGTGAGGAAATCGTAAACCACGCCACTTGACTCAATGATAGACCTTATGATCTAAACCATTCAGCCACCCAACCCACCGATGAGTAAATAGTATCATATGTGTAAATTTTCATTACCATCTGAACCTTTTCTGTCACGACCACTATTAGATGAGACAACAGATTGTCTACTGAGTATATCTGGTTCTTCTGGGCAGTAATCACTATCTGTTGAGTTACTACATGACCTTGATGATCTATTGTTTTTAGGTGAAGAACTACTGCTTCTCAACGCTTTATCAAACAAGTGACCAGCATGTCTTCGTAGAAATGCATCTTCAGAATTATCATCAAACACATCATCAGAATCCTCTTCAAGTTTAGCTACGAGAACCTCTCCTAATTCTTCGGCTAATGATTTGTTATTTGCAGCAGGTAGACCTATAGTAAAATAATACAAGCTAATAGTGACTCAATCCCAAAATACATAGATGACACTTATTAATTACTTGCACATTTGCACATTTATCTTTTTATTAAGAGTAGATCAATTAAATTACTTATCCCTCTGATAGTGTCCATTTTAGTTTTTGAAGCTTTTTTTTTTTTAAGATAATGCAATTTCTCCAATTGCATTAACGTTACTGCTAGTATGCAGTGGGCTTCATTGAGAACATTCAAAGGAAAAGATATAAAAAAAGAAATGAATTGTTTGGGTGTATTTTACAATCACTTTTTTAATAACAGATAATCGCGTAAAAATCTGGAGACCTTTTATTGTATGCCAATAACGTTTTAATATACCTGGGTGTTTTTTAGGTATTTCTGGAAGCTTGCGTGGTCGTCTGTGTGGTTTATTTTCTTTGAAGGTTATTTCCTCTGGAGAATGTCTATTATCTAATTGTTTTTCATTCCACTCATTTTTGGCACATATCTGAAAATCAAAAAATAAAATAAAAACTGGTTAAAAATATCAGAGCTTCATGTATAGTGTATTATCAGTAACAGTAATTAGCTATTAAAATGTATAATGTATCATCAATGACAGTAATTAGCTATTAAATTGTTAGTTTCAGCACTGAATCATCTCCTTTGTGTATGCTGTCTTATGATGATTAAGATGTGGACAGTCTGTTAATGGCATTTCTTCCTACAAATTACTGTTAACAACTCCCCCACATTGACATTTTATTTCATGGTGGTCACAATCCTCTCGCATATACCCAGAATGTCAAGGATCATGACTCTTTACATGATATTTTCTATTGTTGCACTGCTATATAACATCTCCCTTTGTCGCTATGTTAAAATCTATTTTTCGGTTTTCTCATATCATTAGATCATGTGATGTAGTTAGCATTAGTACCAAATCAAATGCTATTCCAGTTACAAAATTATCATCGGTGATATGAGTTAAAATTTATTCAGAGAATAAAACACCATGTCAGCATATTAGTATGTGTGGGTGTGAATTCACTAATTCAAAACAAAAAATCCATGACGATACTACAAGGGAGATAGAGCTATTGAATTATGAGACCCTTGACCAAGTACTATGCAGGGTCCCTATGGTAGGGAAAACACAAACCACAGGCCTCAAATATGAAACATTTTGGCTGGCATTTAAAATAATTTTTCTGCAAGAGACTTCAAGATATGGCAAGCCAAGCTAATATCTAATGTGATTTTAAATTCCGGTAAATATGCTATATTTTTTCAAACTAAATGTTTCCAAGACAAATCGAGATGATTCTATATTTTGAATTTTACACCCAACACTACTGAAAACAATTTTTCACTCAGAATTCTTGAGGACTACCCTTTATCTGAATTTAGAACAAAAGTATTGCTTTCTTAAAAATGGGACAAGCATGGAATTTTATACAGAAGATAGCTATCATAATTAGAAGTCATAAGAGAATCTGTGTACAACTAAACCATGTTGAATTGATCTGAACCCTAGAAATTTAGATTTATCAGTATACCACTAAATTGTCTGTTTGCTTCCTATTGGCTTCGTTCTATTGATTTATGTTACTCTATCGATTGTGTAGGAGAAAGCACAGAAAGCTATTCAGTGCTGTAAACTAAGTTAGTCCAGATATAGACCCATCAAATTATATAACCCATTGTACTTTTCTCTAGAGCCAGAGAGATATGATTAAATCCACTTATCTGTCAGTAATAATGCATAAAGCCAATTTACAATATATTTACAGTAGATATTTTGTAAATGTACACTCCTACCGGGACAGACTTGCTTTGAAAAAAATGGCGCCACTCAGCAGCTTTAAATGTAGTTAGACTTTTACTCTCACCATCAAATGAACTAAACTATTATTATTACAACAAAAAATCAACACCCAAGTTCGGTGGCCAACCATGTTTTATAAAAATAAACTGTCTCTGTCTTTTATCATGAATATAAAGTATATTTACTGCAATAATGGTATATCCTACCAGTGACCTTTAAGAAGAAAAAAAATACCATGAAATTAATGTCTTGTGTCACAAGCTATGGTAATGTGAGAAACTTATGTCTTAAGAATATTATTTATCTTTTTTTTAACAGTTAGTGAATAAAAATTGTTTATTTAGGATGAAAGACTCTTATAATCCTTTTTTCTAGTCCTGTGCCATTATCTAAAAGAACAGCTATTGTGTTACAGCAATGAGAACAAGCTATTTTACAGCACAGGACCATTATTATTACATATACAACATTAATACTTTCAGGAATAAATAAAAGTGATAAATGTGCTTAAAATTTCAAGAGAATTTATTTGCTAAGTCAACTAAGACCCACCCACTAAATATCTGTTTCTTTAGATGCTATTGCCTATTGGGTTATTTTTAAAAAATAAAATTAGAAGTTCCTGATATTGTTAGTGAATAATAATGTTTAATTTAGGATGTTATTCTAGTCCTGTGCAATTATTTAAGAGATACTTTTTTGAAGAAATACATCTTGCAGCTTCATGTAGTGTAAGTGCTTGAAAAACCATATCAATATACTTGCTGAAATAAAGGTGGTAAATAAGTGATCGTTTTGATAATCAATAGTAATTGCAGGAGAACCACACCACACACAAAACAAAACTGATAAGACAAACCTGCGGAAAAGACAAATTACACAGACATTGCAAGAATTTAACATACCAATAATAACAATGTTCTGTTAAATCTGGAACTTCCCATTTCAAGTAATGAATTGGAGATGGGAAGGAAATAATATGCAAACAGTGCTTTAGAAACAGATTTTGGGAGCCTAAAAGTACATTATTTTAAGGTCAAATCACATCAAGATTGCCCTTGCAAGGCTTACACAATAGAAATGTTTTGGATTTGAAACCATGAACCAAACTGTCTTAATTTAGATTCATCATGTGAAGAATAAATCAGGAATATTTTCAATATCAAGATCAGACAGTCATTGCATGTGGGATCACTTCACAAATGATCTTCATAATTTATGACAAGTGATTTGAAGATCATAAAGATAATTGTTTGACCAAGAAGTCTGATGGATTGCTAATTTAAGTAGATGTGATATAACAGCTATTGATATATCTCAACTTGCCTACAGCATATCTGTTGACTTACAAACCACCAGCAGATGTCTATGGTAATAATGCTAATACTGCCATAACATATCATATGTTGTTCAAAGATGCTATAACTGTCAAGATATAATCAGTTTTCGACTAAAGCTTTCTCAGATTCATGCTCTACAGTGTACATGTATAATAGAATGTGGTTTCACGTCTCGTCCACCCAATATTTTGGTCATATATGCAATGATGAGCATGACATTATCAATTTTTATCCACATGATTCAGTTCTATATGGAAGAGAATAGCAATAGAATAACATTTCATCAATACAATACTTCAGTCATTTTGAGACTAACATGTCCCAAAATAATTTGATTGTAATGTGTGCAATTTTAGGGAAGTGAACTTTGCCCAGAGGGCAGCAGTTTCACCTGCTCTAATTCAAATTCTAATTGTCAAAGGTTCTTTTACATTCACACCAGTGTGTACACAATTGAACCTAAGTTTTTTTGTACCATCTAAATGACTACACACAGTTTCCTTGTCAACCCAACAGGCACTACCTGGGAACCAAGATATTGCATGACAGTATTATGAAATCTTTCTGGCTTGTTAAAAGACAGGTTGCCAGGCAGCTATATGACAATAGGTGTAAAAATTCCATCAATACCTTGTGTAACAAAAGGGCTGTAGGAACAAGAAAATGATTTTTTGTAATGAGAAATTATTTCCAGCATATAACCGATAAATCATTATGCAATTCAGTAATATCACATTTTTATTCTATTCTTGTTAATTAAATTCTCTATTCAAATTACACACTAAAGGTGGGCGAAGAAGCCAAAAAACATGATTTAATAATTCAGTAGTTGTACATGAGTAGTACATGAGTAGTAAATGGGACATCTAATAGTTTCGAAACATGCACAAAATAATAAAATGAAAACAAATTTGCCTCTCTTTGCTGTGAAATCTGCATTATTTTTATTTATTACAATACTATACATCAATAAATACAAACAAAGATAGGTTGCCAGGCAACGAAACATACGCCCACAGCAGCTAAATCGTTCGGGCAGTCAACAAGAGTTGTCGCATATTTTTACTTTTTTCGGTAATGAAACATTTATAATACACTAAAATCTGATTAAGAGCAACAACTCAGAAAACCATTAGAATTTTTTTGGTTTTTATAAAGTTCTGCCCCATGCTAACGTTTTGTATACAAAACTTTTAATACTGTATCATGAATTTAGCTGTTCCAAGTCATAAAAATTCATTGAAAATCAATATACTTGTTCGTCTCAAGATCTTAAACTCTGTGTATCAATCTGCAGTCAATCGGATATTAACTTTGGCCTCTAGAGCGTCCACAAGATTTTTCAAAGGGATCAAGGGCCATAACTTTGGCAGTAATTATCAGAAATCTTTGAAAATCAATAGGATTCTTCGCCTCGTGACCTCAAACACTGTGTATAAATTTAAAGTCAATCAGATATTAACTTTAGCCTTTAGAGCATCCACAAGGTTTTTTGAAGTGATCAAGGGCCATAACTCTGGCAGTAATTATCGAAAATCACTGAAAATGAATAGTCTTCTTCGTCTCATGACCTTAAACACTGTGTATAAATTTAAAGTCAATCGGATATTAACTTTCGCCTCTAGAGTGTCCACAAGATTTTTTGAAGTGATCAAGGGCCATAACTCTGGCAGTAATTATCGGAAATCGCTGAATATCAATAGGCTTCTTCGTCTCATGACCTTAAACACTGTGTAAAAATTTAAAGTCAATCGGATATTAACTTTGGCCTCTAGAGCGTCCACATAATTTTTTGAAGTGGTCAAGGGCCATAACTCTGGCAGTAATTATCGAAAATGGCTGAAAATCAATAGGCTTCTTCGTCTCATGACCTTAAACACTGTGTATAATTTAAAGTCAATCGGATATTAACTTTGGCCTCTAGAGCGTCCACAAAATTTTTTGAAGTGGTCAAGGGCCATAACTCTGGCAGTAATTATCGAAAATGGCTGAAAATCAATAGGCTTCTTCGTCTCATGACCTTAAACACTGTGTATAATTTAAAGTCAATCGGATATTAACTTTGGCCTCTAGAGCGTCCACAAGATTTTTTGAAGTGATCAAGGGCCATAACTCTGGCAGTAATTATCGGAAATCGCTGAAAATCAATAGGCTTCTTCGTCTCATGGCCTTAAACACTGTATATAAATTTGAAGTCAATCGGATATTAACTTTAGCCTCTAGAGCCTGACGGACCGACGGACGGGGGCGACGACAATATACGACCACATTTCATTGTGGGCGTATAAAAACCAAAACATGTTTCAAACCATACTATTACAAAGCATGAAAAATGCTTTAGAAAACATTTCTCTCTGTACTTAGGTCATCGGAATCAAAATCAATTATTGTTGAAATTGTCAATAGTATGTTATTTCAATCCCAAATGTTTCTGAATTAAAGTGCAAATGCAAAACATTCTCAATTTGTTTTAGCCGCCTCTCCATTTAACAATATTGTCTTTCTTTCATTTTTTGTCATTGTTAGCCTGCTCACTTTCAAAATGACTTTACTATTGCCCCGAACAAAAATGTTATTACATCCATATTAAAATATGTGTTTTGAAAAACATTGCGATTTTTATTTCATATTTAGGAGTGCTATTATTACTTTTTGTTTCATTATACGCTGAAATGTACCAATTATATTCAAATCTTACAGTAAAATAGCGAGAGAGAGAGAGAGTGAGAGAGTGTTTAACGTCCACTTCACACAAACTAGGTCATTTCGGAACTAACATATGGTTCAATTTTATTTCAATGATTCGCTTGTGCATAGGGGTCTTTAGCAGTGGGAGGAAACCAGACGACCTGGTGAAAACCCATGAGGTTGGACAGGCAACCCTACTCCTTGTCACATACAACTGAGGAATCGAAACCATGCCAGTTAACTCAATGACAGACCTTATGATACAACGCGCACACGCTAACCATTCTGCAATCCACCCCTGCAGTAGAATAGCATTTTTTGGAAAAGAAAGTAAGCATTGCATTTCTGTTCTGTAAAATAAGCAAGAACGTGTTGAATAAACTTTTATCAGAGCCACTTGACAATAAAATAATCAATGATGATTAATTAGGTGCTAATCCAATCATTGATGTAGACACGATGTAATTATCTGATCACTGATGTGTTTCAGTAATTTAAGTCTCTTTTTCCTTTACCTGAACCCATTCAACTTGCATTAATTTTATGACACATTAATTTATTATTTCACAGTATATCAAACACTATATATACAAACATCTTTCATAATACATCTTCAGAAACACCTTGAACCCTGCAGAATAATGGACTATAGTTTGCTAGTCAGGAAACACAGTGGTTGTGTGGTTAGGACCTTCGGGTGGGATGGGATGAAAAACCAAGGGCTTGTGTACAAATTAGCAATGGACGAAATATAGTCCTTGGCATTTAGAATTTGAACAAACATAGGCGATAACACTGTTCTACTTCTACCATGACAAATGTAACTATAGAAATTAGTATTTCTGGTAGTCTCAAATTTAACTGTCAGATGATCTATATGGAACGTTAATCAGGAGGCCATTTTGCAGGTAATGACCAATAAGTAAAAATGACAAAAAGTTTTAAATTCAAGATCTTTCCAAAAATGTATACATTTGTATGATTTATTCTTAAATTTAAAGAGTTACCGGATATATTCATAACTAGATGCTTTTCCTAGTCGAAACTCCAAAACAATAAGACAGTAAAAGGGTTAAACCCCATTTACTTTCATTCAGACTATTTCAGTCTACCTTGTGTAATTGTCATTGACTGTGATATTTTATTGTAAATGTCCTAATCATGTACTATTTGTTCTTCGTTTTATGTTCTGTTCCACAGTTAAATTGTAGTATCATTTATTAGATTATACTAGAATACTTACAAAATCTTTCTTTGATGGTATCTTATCTACAATATTTACACAACTTGATTTATAAGGACTCTTTTCTTTTAATGCATGTTCCAAGAATCTCAGCGCGTCATCAGTTTCACATACAATCTCTTTTTTGTTACTGTCACTGGTTTTGTTTGATGATTTAATATATTCCTTGTTTTTTGCGTTTTTATCCTTGTAATCAGATGATTTGAACCAATTACTGTATGTTTCTGATAAAAAATCTGTAATTCTTAGATCCTTTTCACTTAAATTGTCATCATCTGTTATATCACCTAATGTATCTGGACTTATGTCATGGATTAATCTGGAAGAAAATAAGAAACAAATATATACAACTATGTTCAAGATCATGTGATTTATCACATCTTGGCAGAAAATATTTGATCATATCAAGCCATCAAATTGGTTATGTACTTGCACATTTATCTTTGTACAAAGCACAGATCTCAAGGAATCAGTTGTTTATCAACCTGAGCAGAAATTGATCATACTAAACTTAATCAAGGTATTGATGCAACAAAACTATACACCCAAGTTTCATCATCCTTATTTCAATTAGAAGCAGAATTATTACGTTCTAAAGTTACACCCAATCAAATTGTTTATCTCTGCTAAGCCTAAGCAACAAACTCAGTCAACACATTCATTTAGTGTCCCAAAACGTTAATACATGTAGTATCCCAAAAAGTGTGTTACAGACAGACTGACACTAGTGACAGCTGCTTTGTCTGCGCAGAAAATAGTCATCATGAACTCAGTCAAGATATTCATCTAATGAACATCTACACCAAGTTTTAACATTCCAGAAAGTGTGTCACAGACAGACTGACACCTGCTTTGCCTACGCAGAAGATCCGCAAAACCGAAGTCAGTAAAGACCTTCACCTATTGAACATCTACGCCAAGTATAAACATTCTACCTCAATTAGAAGCAGATTATTGTGTTATGGTGTGATGGTGTGACAGAAAAACGGTCAGATGCTTAGCCTCAGTCCAGAAATTCACTGAATGAAATTCTACATTAAGTTTAAACATTCTAGGTCAATTAAAAGCAAAGTTATTGTGTCCAAAAAAGTGTGACAGACAGATGAATCCATTTCCATAGTCCCCTGCTTCCTTTGAAAGATGGGGGACAACAGAACTTAATGGTGTTTCCATGATACTGGCACAAGCTCTTGGTAACACATGGTCTGGAACTACTGGATTTTTTTCCAAAGTGTGATGAATCGACACAAACAGTAAAACAGCTTAGTATGTTATTCAGTGAACAGTAGTCACAATTATATCCATATAATAATAAACAATATCTTTTAAAAAATCATTATTTCTCAAAATTCCAACACTATGGCACCTAGGTTCCCATCTATCATTCTCAAATATAAGACCATATCCTACAGAATTGGATTTAACATGAAAGTAGTCTACAAACATTTCCTTCAACAAAATACAGAAATAAATTTATCACCTGAATGTGATGTCTGGACAAAGTGGCCTTTGTACTTTAATCATTTTAAATTATAACAAATATCACAATCGGTTTCAAATCTTTCCAAATGACAAAATTCCCAATAATAAAATACAGATCATATGGCAGCCATATTGTCTGAGATCCTACAATCCTACGAATGTGTTATGAATGAAGACATAAATTATGCGAAGGAGGGGATGTAGGAAGACTGTGACGTATATAAAATCATGATAATAAGCTGGAATACTATGGATTATACAGACAGTAACTGTACAAGCACCACACTATAGTGATACAGCAATCAATACAGGAGAGTCCATTCCACTATCAGTATAAACCATTCCAATGATAGATCAATATATCTGCTTACATCACAATCACACCATGCGACTACCATCATTAGGTCAATCTATATGAGGTGCTACTGTCACACTTTTAAAATTATTGATTAGAAAAGTTAAAATTGTGCTTAGAATTAGACATTTGAATATAGCCTTTCTCATTATAATGCTGAGAAGGCAAGATCCTAATGGTTTTTATTTGCTCGGTGGTTCTTAAAGGATCTATATTCATTTTGTTAAAATATTGTTTTTACTAAATCAAAATTTAGGTTACAAAGTCAACTAAACAGACACTCAAGAGCCCTCAATACAGAACAAAGTCACAAATAGTCTATTTTGAACAAATTGGTAAATAAGTTTGACTTTGTAACAAAGGGGAATAATTCTGAAAAGATGCATAAATTAACTATTTAAATGAGAGAAAACACAAATATTTTTTTAAAATTGACATCAATAGAATAGACATTCACAACCAATTTCAATTTTGATAGATCACTTGATAATAGCAGATGCTAGAGTGCTAACAAGAATTTATAATAACCAGGAGGCATAACTGAAGAAGTGATCACCAAAAACCTACTACATATTTCAAATTTTACGTAAAAGGTAGGGTACATAACTCCAGAACGAAGTTCAAATGCGCAACAGATTCAAACTCATCCAAGATCTTTCGATCCTTAACACTTATTTCAAGCTTCATCTAAATTGGAAAAAAATAAGGCCTTTATTGGGTTCCACAACCTTGGTACATGTTTTACATGCTTTGCCACGTTTGTGTAGAGGGGAACAGACATTTTGACAGGAAGTTACGGTTTGATTGTGGTTTGCCTAACATAATTTGAATGGTTTTTAAAATTAAAAACAAATTGGCAACCTTTAGAGGGTCCACAAGTTACAAATTTCATACTTTCAGGGGCAATAATCCAGGAAGTTAGGGTCCGATACGCACAAATAACAAAAGGAACTGAGATCTTCGTAATATAAACATATATTTTAAGTTTAATCAATATAGGATAAAAATTGTACAAGCTAAAAACATGATTTTTAATACAATCAGGGGCAACAATACATGAAGTTGCGGTTTGATATGTGCCAATATCAAAACAAACCGAGACATTTGGGATATAAACATATATTTTATTTTTTAGCCTCGTAAAAATCAGGTAAAAATTGTGACCTATAGAGTGTCCACAAACAAATGTGAACAGGCATCCGGACACAAAAACACACAGGCGGACATCTAGGGTAACAACATAATACACCCTTATGAAAATGAGGGGGTATAAAAATCTGTTAGCTCAATCACATTCACAAGGTTTTCGAAAAATGGAGCATAACTCAGGGAAAGAAGGGCCTGGACCTCTCATTTTTCACACAAATTTTGAAAAATCTGTGTGGAGAGATTTTAGGAAAAAAGGGGCAAAACTCTAAAAATGTTAATCTGATTTTGACGAAAAGAAATAGGGATCCTCGTCTTGTCATAATACAGGTTTACTGAAAAATCTGATAAAACTGTAGCCTCTAGTGCGATGACGGACAGAAAAGGTGATTACAATACACATCCACATTAACATGTGGTCCTATAAAAAATTAGTTAATTTCTTCCTTCAATAAGATAAACAATTAATAAAAATTTCAGTAACATCTGTTGATAACTGCAGACTCAAATGGCTAACAAATTGGTGAAAAACAAAAGGATTTAATCACTTTCTTTCTGAAAAATAAGTTATATTGTAGCCAATGAGGTATATTGATTATAACTATCAAATCACTATCAATTTTGTCCCAAAGGCATAACTCTAGAACAGTTTGGAGACAGCCCACAAATTACTTTCCCCATTTCTACCTTTTATCCCTTTTTGCATGTTAATTTTTGTTGACTTTTTGCCAAAGTTTTTGGTCTAGAATCCAAGAAAGGGTTTGTTGAATATTCATGGTTAAGAAACAGAAAGGATAACAGAGCTAGGAGCTTGGTTACCGTGACATGTAATGTACTTTAAATTTGTGTATCTCAAAATTTCCATCGTCAAACTCACACAAGCTTTGGAGCAAGAAAGTGTCAAATGTTGCTGCATCTGCATCTTCAAATCGAGACTGAAGCAGAGCCTCGTTTAACATGGTGACTAGGCGATGCCGCCGCCGCGCACTGGCCAAACTGTGCCGCCAACTGAGCCCAAAAGTTGAAGACTGGGCTGACAAGGTTTTTCCCATGTGCCAAGCATGCCTGAGGCTAATAATCTGTCATGTCCCTGGCTGGCCGAACCAGTCACCAGCTGGCGCAGTGAAGTTCCCGTGGGCTCACTTTGGAACGAGTGTCCTGTCAGCCGCAGCAGTGTTTTGATCTAAATTTTACAGGGTATTAATCAATCCATGGTTTAACAAGATGCCGAAACTAATAGTGTATCAAATCTCCGAAACTATTTTTTAAGTGCTCAGAAATCGAGTCTAAGGTAGTCAATTTTCAAAATTTTATGGGGGAGGGCCCCCCCCCGCCTCCCCGCCCGGGCTCACACCTATGGTGTTCGCTCGCTTCGCACCTACGGCCAGAGCCGCGCACAACCAAATCCATAGACGAGGCTCTGGATTGAAGACACACTTTTTCCGTGAAACCTACTGTGAAAGGCTCATATTTTGACTAGTTTTCACCTTTGTGTCATTGATGAATTTTCCCACGCGCTGTTGAGCAGTTTTCTGGAAATGACGCATTATAAATATTTTCATTCATTCATTTATTCAAGAGTAGTCTCCCCCCCCCCCCCCACCAATAATTTGCAAGAAATATCTGTTCATAAGTTTAAATAGTGTCCTGGGGACAAGACCTAGAGGACCCATTTTGGATTGTATATGGACAATGAGTTTAATTTTCTAATGGAATGAACAAACCATGAAACTATTCGAAATAATATTTTGTACCCTGCCTTATACGCCAACAGTCTACCATTCTCCTTCGATGTCATGTTTGACCCACCGTCACCAGTTGCAAAATTTGTGTGCTCATTTGTTTATCATGCTTTTAAAAACAGGGAGTGATGCATTGACCTGTGGGAGTCTTAAATTTAAATTACCTGCTACACCATCTGACTTGTTTACAAAAGTTGACATCGCTGACTCCAAAACAAAAGACTCTTTAAGAGTCCTAAAGGAAGCACATGCCTATTAGGCTATCCCCCTTGCTATTTAAACGATTTCTACTTAGTTTGTAACTAGCTTTATATTCGTTTATTTGTACTACATGTATATTTGTTGTATTGTATTAATGTCCTTTTTGTAATTGCATGCTGCTCCTCGTGGGCCTCCTCGTGGGCGTTTTTATGCAATAAATTTACTTACTTACTATAAGTGCAAGATTAAGTAAGGGTCATGGGGACCAGGGTGCACTGAATATTTCTCGCAAGTCACAAACCTTGTAACAGAAACTGTTAGTCTTTATTCAAAATGCACAGCAAGATATGTATCTAGGTTAAAAATCAATTTTCCTGCTTGTAAGCCTACCCTCCCTTTAATTTTACTAAAGTAAAACTAATTTTGAGTGATCATGAAAAATGATTCTCATCTGAGACCAGATGTTTAACTGATTCCTGAATATAGACTTTGCCAACATCTATGAAAAAATAGTTTCAATAGTTCAATATTTGTTTTGTACGAACTGATTTGAAAATAATGTGCATATTAGATGCCCAATTTTCCCGCGCATATCTGGCACGTGTTTGAGAAGAAGGGAAATAACCCAGTATACACTTCCCTTATACATCCGGGAACTTTGACGTCCATGTTGCCCGGTTGAAGGACGAACACAAGGTTCCAAAATGCTAGCTTCTTTCGTCGTTAAATCAGGTTGTTTATTGATACATTTGGTTAATTATAAAATATCTGATTATGTTGTCAGTGGCCTGCTAAATGCTTATGATGAAAAATGTACCCATGTCCCACACGCCAGAATCGCTTAAATCGTTTCTTAGGACTTTAGTTCTTCAACTTCTCAAGTTCTTCAAGTTCTTGCAATCATTTGTTGGCAATGTCAATGACTCAATTTCACCCTGGGACCAACGTCTTAATATTTATCGTCTTAGCCTAAAATTATTTTTGTTAACACTACAGTAGTTAACTCTCTTTTTCAAGATGAGAAGGTCATATATTGATCATTATTCACGACCTTTATTAGGTCACCCTTGGCCTTAGGCTGAGTTCTAGAAAGTCAAAAAACAAGTCTGGTGTGCCACTCGGAACTGCCTCTGATCGAACGATGTCCGCTGACAGTTCCTATCGCTTTCTATATAGCTGCAATATGAAAATACCGCTCATCTCCACCTCTGGTTTTAAGACTATTTTGGAATCATTACCGACTATTTTTCACCCGGATTCTAGTTTTTTGTTTGCCATAGGAATCATTTCTTGCCACAGCTAACACACATGATTTAGAATAATTCAACACTATTTTCAAGCAGAATTTTGCGATTAAAAACATACACAAAATACAACACCCGAACATGCACAGACCCCATGTTTATGTAATTGCTAAATTCTACTTCAACAGTCGGTCTCAAAATTATGCATCGGTGGCTGAATGAATTAATGAGGTAAACAAACAATACCAAAAATGGAAAAATCCAAAATACTTGATATGTATGAATATGTCTGTGTACACATATGGTTGCTTTGATTTGATATCACAATTACAATATGCCGCAAAGGTTCATGTAGTTTTCATGTGTGGAGGTTTTAAGATTTTAAGATGTTGCAATTAGTGCTCCTACGACTAGTCGGATAGCCGTAAACGGTTAGAACTGGACGGTTAAACGGTTCGAATTCAACGGTACGGTTATTCGGAGATGTCCCGCATTACATTGAGTTGTCTGATTATATTCCTCGTTATAACAAAATTTGCCCGTTGTCATTTTGTATTAGATGTTTGAAAATCTTAGAATGTAACTGTCGTCCTACGATGTCGACTGCTAAACAATGATACTATTAATAGCACTCATCGTAGTCGTTCGGCAAAGTCAACGGACCTTGTTCTAACTTTAGCTAATGTTAATCCAATGTAAATACTTCTCAACATTTCTAACTATATTCTACCTTGTTTATTATTTACTTAAAAACGTATCCATCATTCAAAATATAATCATAAAGGATAGAAAATGACATTATACTAGATTCGTTACGACATTCAACACGTTTCATATCTCGTAATTTCTCGCAAGAATTCTACTTTGGTTTTTAGTTAATTAACCAATCATAAAAATTCTACTTGCAAGCGAGGAATTATTTCTTTATTGTCCAATCAATAGACGTCTTCCAATTTACTTTATTCTATTCTTAGTAACATTGTGTAATCGTAATATTATCGAAGGGAAACAGAGTATTGTTTTGTATATTATCGTAGATATATATTGAATTAAAAAATGTTTCAAATGAACCAAGTTAACCAGGTAAATAAATAACTACGGCCTTAGATAGTTTAAACTTTCATTAAAGAATTCCTGAAATTTTTGCGCGTGTAATGCCTTTTAGGCGAGTATAGCGTGCGAACGAGTAATGACTCGCACCTCCTGACAAGCTCTGTTTTATGTTTAAAATTGATACCATCCGGTTAACGGTTACTAACCGGTTAATAGCTACGGCTATTCGAATAACAAAAAGTCCTAACCGTAGGAGCACTAGTTGCAATATTATAAAGGTCAATTATTAGCGGATGATATTCAATATTAGCAAAGAATGGAGAATAGCACCTGTATTGCACTTACAATTGCATATGCTTTTTGAAATTGTCATTTTATGGTTGAGCATTCACTGAAGTACCGGTTTGTACAGCTCATTTCTGGCTGTCAGGTATCCAAATATAGCTCAGGTGAAATAACTGTTCAGTATTAATTATTATTTATTTTTTTATTTCAGGTGCTTTGGGGGGATTATGTGCCAAATGTCCTCAAAGGTAATAACCTAATTTGTGATCACCATTCAAATATTCTCTGAATGTAGAAAATGTTTTCAGTTTCAACCTTTACAGAATTTTGTGTTGATAACTCTCACGGTGACAGATAATGTTTGGATCAATTCTTTATACACCGATTTAAGATTTATAATGTTGAAGTGGTTTCATTCAATAAAAGCTTACACGTATAATAATCCTCTAATTGATGTTGGAATTCAATCCTAGTTTGACCCTTGTACTATAATAAAGCCCTGTCAATTAATATAATTTCAGGTGTCTTGTAGCTGTTCAAGCTGCTCAGAATTCAAGCATAGCTAAAAGGATTGAAGACTGGGATAAAGCCAATGCTATTTTCTATGGGCCCGAGAGAGATTATAAAAATTTCCCGACGCAGAGGCAATTAGAAACTCCACCTCCAGTCCGATTAGGTTTCCTCCCCGAATCATGGTTTCAGACTTTGTACCCAAGGACAGGAGTAACAGGTAAAGAAGGACATTATTAAGTAACTGGTTTGCCACAAAGCAATTACATAATTATGGTTAATGCTTTTTGAAAGCTCGGAAAAAGACCCTTTATCATGAATCGTTTTAAAACGATCCAAAAAGAAGAAGTCTGTATTTTCTGAAATGGAAACTTATCATTCCTACATACACAGTAGGAAATCAGTGCATGAGTTAACAAAGATATGTACATGGGTCATTTTGTAGACGTTGTTTTTAACAAAATGTTATACTTAGATGAAATATGTATGGTCTTCATATGAATTAGATACTCCAGATGTTTTATTAATGTATATTTCAGGTCCTTATTTATTTGGTGTTGGCCTACTTGGATATGTTCTTTCCAAGGAAATTTGGGTTATTGACCATAACTTTTCTGAAATGCTTGGTTTCTGGGGAGCAATCATTTGGATAAATTATAAGTTTGGTGATAAGATTGGCAATTATATTAATGGCTTGAGAGAGGTAAGTAGAGTTAAAAAGGTGGAAAAACAAGACTGTCCACAAAATCTCCAGTTCTCCAACATGAAATATATACCTAATATATATTGAGTGCAAATGTCCTGTTTCATAAAATGGTCTCATTATTTACTGCATATAAATGTATTCCCAGGGTTACAGGAAGTAACTCTCTATACAAAATTGAATGAATCTGGAAATTAACCAAAGGCTCAATTATCAAATATGCATAAATGATACTCTATATTCAAACATTCAACAACATGATGAGGTGAATATAGTGCCTTTGACAAAATTGAAACACAAAAAAGATTGTCTGATAATTCAATCTGGTTAAAACACAGGTTCTATTTCATTTCGTTTTTTATTGTTCACAATTTGGTTTTACTTGTTTTCACAACACTAGGATCTGGAAGAGTTGTTATATAACCCATGTTCTGGTTGAAGTGAGGGATTAGCCAATGAAACTGTGTTGCAGGGAGTTCTTGGTTTGCAGTGCAGGGAAATGTGGGTAGACATTGACAACGGAGACAAAACAAAAGTTGTATTTTCAAATACCCACTTGAAACATCAATGCTGATTGGTTAATCAAATGTCTGACACCACATGGTCAAAAGCCGCTGATATGACCCCCTGATACGACCTCCCACTACAACTTGTCAGATCTTCATGTAGTGAAGGCTATCAAAAGTATAAAAAAACAAAATGAAATGTAGATCTGTATTTTAATCAGATTACTGATAACCAGAGTATTTATTTGTATGACCTTAGTTTAAAAATATGCGAAATGAGATATTTACATGTATGCTGATCACAAATTTAACAAGAAACATGTACTTATTCTGGTGTTAGAAGAACTGGAATATTTACAGACTACTTCATAATAAAATAATAGAATTGATTCAGTCGATACAAGTCAAAATAGTGTATTACAAGACATTGATTCAAGGATGTATCATGCCAGCACTACTATATAATCTCTGAAATAGTACTATATAAGTAGACGAAATGTTAAAATGTCTGTTATAAAGAACAGATACACAAAGAATCTGTGTTTTATTTACAGACGAACTATAATGACTGGTTTGTTAAACCTGTTGAAGAAGCTAAAGAAATATACCAAACTGAAATTCAGGAAAATGAAAAAGCTATCTGGCGTGCAGAAGGACAAAAATATTTATTTGAAGCTAAAAAGGTTTGTAGTTTGTGTATAGTTTGATTGTTCGATACTTTCGAAAAAAATAAATGTGCGATTAATTAATATGTGTCATCTATTTATTTTGGGATTTCGGCGGGGGACATCAGTATCACTGTTTGCTTGTTGTTTCAATAATGCAATTTGAAAAAGATTAAATTTCAGGAATACTAATACTATAATTGTTATAGTGATAAAGATGTAACATATACACTTCTTACTTTTCATCTTATGATCTTTTACAGGAGAATGTTGATCTTCAACTAGAAGCTGCATATAGACAGAGAATACAAAATGTATATACTGATGTCAAGAAAAGACTTGTAAGTTGGTTTCTTCAAATTTTGAAAATGGAGGGGTTGAGAAAATCCAAATTTATACTAGTTCTTCTTGATGCCATTGTGAACATGGAGAATCCCAAAACATTTTGGGGTTCTTTATACCAGCAAATTTTAGTTCCATCAAATATCTGTCCTGTGTTGCATTATCAAGATCTCATGACTTAGATCGTGAACAGATATTGGACAGGTGAAGTGTCAACAGTATACATCAACATTAAACATGGGCATGTGAAATTTATTGCAATTGTTAGTGTAATGCAAGAGAATGGTTGCTCTTGCTTTAAATTGTTAGTTATTGATGGGTTTTTTTAGGATTATCAAGTAGATATTTTTTTTTAGGATTATCAAGTAGATGTATTAAATACTAACAAACAGTTTGAACAAGAACATATGGTTAATTGGATTGTATCAGGTGTTATGAAGAGTATCACACCACAGCAGGTAATTTAACCATACTTCCCTTCAAAATTATAAAAATACACATTTAGCTGTACTGTTTATAGTCAATCCTACTCCATCAACATTTGCATTCAATCTGTGGTTATAATTATAGGTTATAGCTTGATTGTAATTATAGGTAATGGCTTGATTGTAATTACAGTAAACTTTGCCTAAGTCGGACCTAAGTGGACTGACCAATTTTATCCGAGTTAAGCAAAGATCTGAGTTAGCCGAAGACCGAAATTCAATCTTAGCTCGATTAGAAATAAACTGCAAGAGCCGGATAACAATTGATTCAAAGGCACCTTTCAAGCACCTTGTTTGTATCTGCGAGTAGATAATTTACGTTTTGTCGCCATCTTTGTAAAATGTCCTAAATTTTCCCGGAAAGTTTCCCGTATAGCAGACAGAGAGTTTCAAATTTAATGGGAAAATTCTATTATTACGTCACATCAAATAGGCTGATTTGAGTCAAAATGATAGGGGAAAGTATTCTGGAGCTCTGTGCATGGAATACCTAATCGCGTTTTAGACCATGAGGACGAAACTGACTTAGTCAAATTCTGAACATACTGCCGATCTGACTTAGGCGAAGGAAAAAAGCCGGAATTAAAACAAATGGACCAAACATTTTGATCAAAGATCCGATTTACGCGCCGAAATTTAATAAGAAAAATGTGCAAGATCAGAGTTGCGCGAAGATCTGACTTATACGAATTCGACTTATGCAAAGTTTACTGTACATGTATATACTATAAGTAAGGCTTTATGTTCGACATTGGTGTCTTCAATGTCATTTTTTCAAGGCCACAATCACACACTTTGCATCATATTTTTTGAGTTTTTGTGCCATCCTCGACTTATTTTGACCCCTCTCATATGCAAAATCGTGTGGTTTCAATGCCACAATCATAAGGATAATGCTTAACCAGATATGCTACAAATATAGCATCTCTTCACACAGCCCAAATTGTTTCAACCTCTGGGAGAGACACCCCAGAGGACTCCCCATCGATATAAATATTGGGGTTTTGTGTCCTCCTATGGATCTTGTTCCTCATGCAAAATCTGTGATGTCACCATGCCCCTGCATCATTTTGTTAGTCATTTAAAATCAGTTTTAAAAAAGTTTTAACAAAGGAAGCATTAATAATTTGACATGATTAAATACTTAGTTCATTTCATGGCTCTATAAAAAGAAATTAACCTTTTCTAAAATAGTCAATCTCTAATGTGGATGTGGTTGTTTATTATTGAAATCTAATTGTATGTTTTAGGAAAAAGAAAGTATAACTAGTTGTTTACAGACCTTGAAGAAACTACAAGCAACAGCCTAGAGTTTTATATGTGATGTGATAAATAAATTAACAAGGACTTTTACATTGTAAACAAACAAGATTGAAAATATTGTAGATACATTGGACAAACATCAACTAAAATTATTGTGTTATGGATATAGAAACATAAAATAACAAAAAAAATAAAAGTGGAACATATTTCTCCATTTTGATGAATGGTTTAGATGCTATATTAACCGAAGAATACTAGTCTGCGAAACAATAAATATCAATAATCTGTTGGTCCTCACCATATTCCTGAAGCAATGGCCCAAGAAATTCCTCTCTATAGCGGAAAGTTTTTTTTTATTTTAACGCAGTATCTTTTTATCGTAGTTCTATCCAGTTTGTTGAAACAAAATAGATACCATGAGAGTCTGTCTCTTGTGTTTTGAGGTCTTCTGTACAACTGCGAACATTTGATTAAATTTAACAAAAGATTACAGGGTGCAGGTAGGGTTCTTCCTCTAAAGAAGCCAAAGCTTCACACCAAATTTGAAACAAAATCAATTGACTTATTGTGCCAACCAGGTTATCGGAAAGATGTTAAATCTGGATCGGAAGGTTGTATTACGCTGAATATCGATTGAGTTCATCCTACACTTCACAATAAATTCATTAAAAGCTGTAACCTGCACATAGACCGGGAGCCCAGGGGGTCAACCTAGCTGAAAAGTGTACCAATTTTCTCCTATATGGTATCAATGTATGTATATCTGGTATCATCAGAATGTAAGTCTGCCGGGTTTCTGGTGGTGGGTGTGGTATTCCACGACCTAAATGCCATGATCCCCAACTAGGCTAGATTAGCTCAAAAGTGTACCACACGAAAATCTTACTGCAGTGTACCGTACATCTTCAGGTATTACAAAAACACTCTGATAGACATTTCTAGTGGTGGGGTACCCCTGGATTGGCTTCTGATACTTGAGCTTTTGAGGGAGTGTGTCCATTCTTCCCGTTCAATCAAATCTATCCCAAGTACAGCAACATCACAGCCCTTCGTTTAAATCGGGTCTTCCCTAAAATTTTGGACAATGATTTAAGGTATTAAAAAAACAAAAAGTATTGTTCGTCCCGAAACAGTATTGTTTACATTGTATCGCGTTAATAGCCTCGTTTGTCACGCAATTAGTGCAATATTTTGCTATGCACTGGTTAATTGGAAATAATAAAATCGTGAGTCATGACGTAATGTTATGTAAACATATTTGGTCCAATTTGGAGCTCTGTTTAAAGCGTAATGATATTGTTACGCAGTTAGCTATTGGTTGTTGTATTGGACTATTGACAGTCATAATTTGGAACAGAAATTTGCTTCCTTTACAGCAGTGTTAAGTGGGATTGGCTCTAATCAAACAAACACTGCGAGGAGTATGAACAAAGTGAAACAAGGACCGTAACTGTAGAAGTTAAGAGAAACTTAAATTGAATAAGATTCTTCGTTTTACTAATCTCAATAATGATTATAATTTTCATACAGATCGAATGATTACTTTGTCGAAAGTGTTCTCAATGTTCAACAAAGTGAAACAAGGGCCATAACTCTAGAAGTAATAAACGGAAATTGTTGAAATTGATCTAAATAATGCATATAAATTTAATACATATCGGATGATTTTGTCGATTGAGCGTTCATAAGATTCAACGAAGTGAAACAAGGGCCATAATAATATAAGACGCCATAGTGCTGTAAAAATGATTGCGACATGCTGAAGAGTTTAAGATTCGGTTTATAGTTCTGAACAAATTGCATTATGATAGTCCATACTGACGACATTTAGTGTTCACAAGGTTAAACACAGTGAAACAAGGGTCATAACTCTAGAAGTTAATAAAGGGCAATTGCTGAAATTCAATAGACTTCTTCGTTTTACTAATTTTAATAATGCATGTAATTTAATACAGATCGGACGAAAACTTTTTTTAAGTTAGTGTTCACAAGATTCAACAAAGTGATACATGGGCCATAACTCTAGAAGTTATTAACGGACTTTGCTGAAATTCAATAGACTTCTTCGTTTTACTAATTTAAGTAATAAATGTAAATTTAATATATACTATTCAAAAAAAGTAGGGGATATTTGATTTTGGGGGCATAATACTAAAATATGCAAATGACTACGAAAAAAGTCACTATAGAACCTAACAGAAGAAACATTTCCAGTTACATGTGACGCCCAAACGCACCAATAGCTACCGCATGGAATGCAGGTGATGCTTGGGATCATCATGGGGGTCCAACCCAAGATTTGCACGACTCTGACTTTGAATGTTACAGTCATTGTGGCATTGAATTCCAGGGTGGAAACATCAGTTTAATTGTTTTAGTGACCAGAAAACAAATTTTGATATGCGTCGGCTTACCCAAAATGAAAGGTTACGTGCCCTTGGCATGCTACAGATCGGCACAACACAGGCGGTTGTGGCGCGGACGATGAATGTTTCTCAGTCGGTCATAAGCAGGCTATGGTCCAGATACCGTGATACACAATCTGTACAGGACAGACCACGCTCAGGTCGACCAAGGGCGACAACTCAAGCCCAGGATCGATTTATCCGTACCTTGGCCTTGAGAAATCGTGTCATCACAGCAAATCAGATCAGCGCTCGTCTTCAAACAGACACTGGTGTGAGAGTGAGTGGCCAGACGATTCGGAATCGACTGCATAGGGGTCACCTTCGCGCCCAACGTCCTCGCGTGATCCCTTGTTTGAGAGATCATCACATTCAGGCAAGATGTCGTTGGTGTAGGGATCGTCAACACTGGGATAATCGACGCTGGAGCAATGTGATGTTTTCAGATGAGTCTAGGTTCACTGTTGATTTTTTGGACAGACGTAGGAGGGTGTGGCGTCGTCGAAACGAGCGCTTCCAAGACGTTAACGTCATCAGACATGATCGATTTGGGGGTGGTTCTGTTATGGTGTGGGGAGGCATCACTGTTGCTGGAAGAACGGCTTTACATGTTGTTGCAGGGCGTGTTACAGGCCAGTACTACCGGGACAACATCTTGGCAGTCCATGTTGTGCCGTTCGCACGACGTCATGGCCGCCGTTTCATCTTCCAGGATGACAACGCAAGATGTCACAGGGCCAGGATCGTTACAGGTTACCTCCAACAACAGAACATCACCACATTACCTTGGCCAGCACTGAGTCCCGACCTCTCCCCCATCGAGCATGTCTGGGACATGCTTGGACAGAGGTTACGTCAACGTCAACAACGTCCTGCCAATGTCCAAGAACTTGCTGCTGCGTTGCAACAGGAATGGGACAATCTGGACCAAAATGACCTTAGACGTCTCATTAGGAGTATGCCACGTCGGATCAATGCTTGTTTGGCAAACAGAGGAGGATTTACCCGTTACTGACTTGGTTGTGATGCTGTGGTAACTTTGTTGTTTGACCCCGGGTATCATTTTACCCTTATAATGGTCAGTCTGTGCCTTACTTAGTCTAACGATCATTTGGAATAAATCGATGAATGTGAACTTCATTTCATTTTGTCATTTGTTTCTTCGTCAGTTTCATTAGGTGACTTTAATAACACTTAAAAATCAAATATCCCCTACTTTTTTTGAATAGTATAGATCGGAAACTTTAGTCGTTAGATATTACACACGGTTCAACAAAGTGAAACAAGGACCATATATTTGATTTAGTCGGTAGAGTATTCACAAGAGATTGTGCACGATGGGGGGACAATATACGGCCATATTTCTATGTGGGCGTATAAAACTCCACTAAAGATGCCTTTACATGTAGAAAATGTGATTTGATAATATATTTGAACTAAAAACAGTCCCACCCCCTCACCCACTGGCAGAAAAGTTCTACCGCTAGCCATTCGTTCAACACATAAGCGCTCTTTGCGGGCACGTCACTCTCGAACAGGCAAGGTGACATTTTCATTTTTGTCATGTACGCGCCTCATAACTTTTTTTTTTTATGTCTTCGGAGAATCCAATATTTTTCTCGTAAGATTGGGGGAACCACTGTTATGTCGCCAAGCTAGTAAGACGTTGGCTCTCTAACCTGAATGGTACCGTGTTCGATCCCAGCGTTGGTGGAGAAAGTTCATCGGGTTTTCCGGCGTGGTTCGGTTGGGACGAAAAACTGAGGTCCTGTCTTACACATTGGCGTGTACGTAAAAGATCCCTTGCCAGTTGGAATTCGATATAAGAGTAGGCCGTAGCGCCGATGTCCGGGCAAAATCTCCCCCGTCGGAGCAGAGCAGTAGGACGTTTAACCCCATTTCATTTCATCGTGTATACCAAAATTGCCATACATTTATCGGAAATAACTACATGTATACCCAATAAATACTTTCGTGGAAAGTGATGTTTTGTATATTGATTTTTTTTAATTATCAGAAAAATTATTGGATTTAACAAGACCATACCATCGTACATAAAAAGGAAAAATTAGCAAGATATTAAAGGCTCAATACCACTCTTGTTGTAACTGAATAATATGTCCCAATCTTTATTCTGGTCAACAAATTGTACTATTTTAGAATATTTCAATTAATTGATGATACAAATTGCATAATGGTTTGAAACGTCTAACGTAAACCTTTTCAAATGAAACTTCGATTTAAAAATATTTTCGAACCCTCTGGACAAGTAAAATAGGATGTAATGGATAATTTACACAACCGGTAGGACACTTAAACATCTAGTACTTAGATAGAGATATTATTTATTTTCTGGAGCTTTCAAGCCAGCAAGAGTGTTATTGTCCCTTTAAACCTTTTATTATAATAAAGTAGTACATGTACATACCATACTGAAATTTTATTTGTATCTTCTTATGTATTAAAACGCAAATGTTACTATGAAATGAATTATGTATTTAAACAGGTGTGGAGTAGCTTATTTATGGCAAGAAATCATAATTTTGACGCCTGCACCGGATTTGGCGGTTTCAAACGCTTGAAGGGTTTCTTCTATCGTAAATCTGTGAGTGATCATTGGTTTTATGTTGATTTTTCCGGACGCTATCATTGCAATTGCTGCAGGCCAACTAAAATTATAAAGACAATAAACCCGTATGTTATAATAGTTCTGCCTATTTAAATATACCATTTTATTTTTTTAAAGAAGACAAACATATTTCGCAAAATCCGCAGATCCAATGCAAGTGGAAGCCACGGCCTAATGAAGTCCAGTAAAGGTTTTGCTACCAATGCATTGCCAATGGAATGTTAAATAGTGTTATTGATTCTAGGAAGGTAAGGACAAACAAAGAGGGCCATGATTTGATCTGTTGTCGTATAGAAATATGATTAATTTTTTAAAGAAGACAAACATATTTCGCAAAATCCGCAGATCCAATGCAAGTGGAAGCCACGGCCTAATGAAGTCCAGTAAAGGTTTTGCTACCAATGCATTGCCAATGGAATGTTAAATAGTGTTATTGATTCTAGGAAGGTAAGGACAAACAAAGAGGGCCATGATTTGATCTGTTGTCGTATAGAAATATGATTAATTTTTTAGGTCGCATAACACAAAATAATCGGAATATGATTTTGAATTAAAACTGTCGTGTTTCTATCAAATAGTTTTTCTAAAGAACAGTTAACTTTTGCATCCTTTCTATCAAATTTTTAAACACTAATCCAATAATTTTCTGGGTGACAGAGCTAATGAAATAAATTTGATGTTGGAGCCTTACGTGTTAACATAACGGAATGATCCTCTTATTTCCACTTCTCTGGCTATAGCTGTAGTTATGGGTATAGTAACATTATCTGGACCATGGCCTACCACAGCGAAGGCCCCACCTGGTTTAGTCGACTGAAAATCGGAGTTTTTGTAAACATCTGAATTACATTTATTGGAAAAAAAAATTGGCGAAATTGTATACTGTTCCATACTCTACTTGAACAGCTAATTGTTCTTGAAATAAGTATTCCGTCATTGTACATACTAATTTGGACCATTTCTCCGTTGTAAACTAAAGCTTTAAATGTAGGGTTCATTAATTTTACCTGTATTCCCAGTTCCACAGAAAACTGTGCCCCGCTACATTCTATAGCTTGATCAGCCCAACCTCCAAGGGCAGATTTAACTTGACGCGAAACTTCTTCGGGATCCGTGGATTCCACTTTAACAGTTTTTGTTGCCCCGAGACTTCTAGCAAACTCTAATCTACGATCATCAATATCTGTGACACAATAATAAATTAATTAACAGTACACAATAATTTCTTATCTAAATCGTTTTTCAAAACTGTATGACGTACTGGAGAAGAGTCAATTTCCAAGTTGAGTGTTTTTCGTCTTACCCATATAGTGCTGTTCACGATGCCATTGGATAGTCCCGTATCCCACTTTTAGATAGAATTCATGTGTCCCTAATGCTAGGATAAAGATAAATGAGTTGGACTTCTTTTGACCACTGGAAATTTTTTTTTAAAAATGAAAAAAAAAAAAAAAAAAAATTGTCCTGGGGCGTTGTGTTATTCTGATGAAAAAAAAAGTTTATTAAGAGTGTCCGCACCTGTCATGCAAATGGACGCTGCGCCCATAGCTTTTGCTGATAACATAGCTGATAAACCTATTGGACCTGTAAAGGACAAATGATTAAATATGAAAGTATATGGCAAAAGCACAATAACGGGTAAACTTACGGACACTTCATGGTACAAACTGACTGCAAATAGTCGAAAAGATAGACCATTTGGTTGGGTGATAAAGGAATAAAGTGATGTATTCGAACAAATAAAAAATATTGAGATGGGGATGGGAGATTGCTTGTAGCATTATGATTTCAGGTGGACCAAGACCGTGAACACAAAACTGTGTTCATACAATACTATAGTGTACATGTACATGTTATTTATATGGATTGGGTATTAAAAAAGTAAATAATACCTGCACCGCACACAAGAACCTTGCTTCCTAAATTAACACCAGCTCTCTGACAAGCATGGAGTCCAACTGAAAGCGGTTCAATTAACGCACCTTCTTCAAAACTTACATTATCTGGCAATCTGTAATCCAAACAAACTCATATTATAAGTCACTGAATACGATTAATTTGGACTGAAAATGTGACAAACCATTAGAAATATATTCAGTAATTTAAAACGGTTTGTTCAGGAAGCTTACTTAATTTTTGTGAACGAGCTATGGACAAAGGATTTCATATTTATGGCAATCAGTGTAGCACACCATAGTTATTGAAAGGTAATTGTTGCAGAACTGCGTCTTAGAAGAACCACATGTCGTCAGTATGGACTATCATAATGCAATTTGTTCAGAACTATAAACCGAATCTGAAACTCTTCAGCATGTCGCAATCATTTTTACAACACTATGGCGTCTTATATTATTTTTTTAGGATGTTATGGCGACCAGTGAAGCAAATTCAAGGGTTATAAATAATCTATATATATGAGTCACGGGACAGCAATATGGACAAATAGGTATTGGGAGATGCTTTGGACAATCTGCATCTTTTATTATCAAGCTATTGACCAGTTAACATAGCGAGTAATATAGACATGATTACTTGAAGCAGAAATCTGCAGCATGTACATGATATCTTGCTAGCGCACCACTGTCTGGAGGTGTAGCCAAGAAAAATACATCAGGACATAAGTTGTATCTACCACTTTTACACCATTCACATTGACGACAGGGAACACCAGGTTCTATGGCAACACGATCACCTGAATGATATGTATATATAGTTGGAGAAAGTTTTCATTTATAAATTAACCTACATAAAATTATACTTTGATGATTAGCAATATGCCCTACCTTTGGTGTCTAAATAATATAAAAAGATTTTTATAAATGACTTACCAACTTTCAAATTGATAACACCCTCGCCTAATTTACTAACAATTCCAGCACATTCGTGTCCTAATAACATAGGTGCTACCACAATAAAATGCCCGATTGCTCCTTTCTGCCAATATTTCACATCTGAACCACAAATCCCCATTTTCTGCATGGATATTTGAACCTCTGAAATAGCCAAATACAATGCTATTCATTAAAATAGCAACGCAACACAAAAATTGAAACCCGAAGACTCATTATGAACTGCAATTCTGCGAACGGGGTGCAATAAGATCAGTATTCCTAGTTAGTAATTTTAAGTCCTTACCTCCTCGACCTGGTTCTGGAATAGGGCGATCTTCCTGTAAAATAATTTTATAAAATACTTTTAGAACATTTTTATGAAATTCTATGGTAAGAATCGACTGATATTTTTATGTAAATAACCCTGTTTTATGACAGATATCGAAAAGTTACTGATACAACATTTTTTAGTCCTCTTCGCCCCCGTCCCACACCTAAAAATAAGACACGATGGCGAACATGATCAGCTTCTGAAGTACGAGATGGAAAGAACGAAAAACTTGTGAGGGACTTAATTCAAGTGTAATTCATGGGGGTTTAATTGTTTTGTGGTCCCATATCCATTAAGCACATCGCATGAAGATTTTTAAACACGGGTTCGCTCTACATGAATACAGACCACGAATGGATTACTCGTTTTTCCTACAAAATTTATCTTTAAGAAAATAGAAATTTGGGGTAAAAGGGTCCCCTAGCCCCCGGAATGTGTGTTCTTACCAGTCTAAGATCACCGGTCTTGTACAGTATAGCGGACAGATTGGTATCGGTCATGTTGAAGCTTTGGTTTTACTAAGAAGCCTGCAAGTCAAATTACAACATCGATGTATTTAGTGGACATAATAAATATTATTGAAAGTTTCTAACATGCAATAAAAGAAGAAATGTTATCCTCCATTCGAGTAACATTATATTATATCCTTGATTATCTATAGTGAAATCTTTATCAAAGTTAATACCTCTTAAACGTGATACCAGCCAGAGCCTACATAAACATTCAGTTCATTGTCATGACCCAGACATTAAATTTTGTGTTTAATTCATAACTCCGTCTAAATATGAAAATTCAGTGGCGTTGCTTGGTGTGTCCAGTTCAGATGCGTCTGGGTGGTGCGTGGACTGGAGGACCTAATGTTAACACCAGTCACCAACTGGGCCGTTCTTATAAGCATTCTAGTAAAGTTGATTGCCCAGGAAATATCAGTTCACCAACATATTACATAGCAAACTTTTGATTCAAAAGTACATGTATCAATGTGTCTTCGGTATGAATAATTTCTTCCTAAAACAATGGGAATGTGCATATTAAACAAGTTAAAATCTTACCTTGTTGCCTCGCCTGGTGTTCAAGTGTAAGTAAGATAAAGTCAAGCTATTTTATACTCCATATAAAGATAACATATCTATCTCATTGCTAAACACAGTCGTGTTTGATAACACCACTTTATATTTCAAAGGAAAGTTAAAAGCAGCTATAATTATGTCGGTCATATCAAATATAAATATAATCCCAGTTCAAATTTGAACTCTACGTCCTTTACTTTCGTGAGTAAGAAAGAGAGAAAAATGCGGTTTTACGTTCACCCAACACAAACATGGTTCAATTTTATTTCAATAATTCGCTTGTGCGTCTTTAGCAGTGGGAGGAAACCGGAGAAAACCCACGAGGTTGGACAGGCGACCCTACTCCTTGTCACGTACAACCTGGGAATCGAAACCACGCCAGTTCACTCAATGCCAGACCTTATGATAAAGCGCGCACATGCTAACCATTCGGCCATCCAACCCCACATTCTCGATAAAGAAATGCAATAAAATGGGGTTTAACGTCCTACTGTTCTGCTCCGAACTGGGCTACGGAAGACGGGCATACGCCATACAGTGTGAGTGTGCTATGAGGCACTACGGTCTACTCTTATATCGAATTCCTACTGTCAAGGGATCGTTTACGTGCACGCCAATGTGTACGTACGGGACCTCGGTTTTTCGTCCCATCCGAAAGACTAGACATCTGTACATTCCAGGGCATCCGTCCTGCATGACTGAAAAGGGGGACCCACGACGGAAAATCTGGATGAACTTTCTTGGCTAATGCAGGGATCGAACACCCGACCTCCAGGCTAGCGAACCAGCGTCTTACCCATTTAGTCACCGTGAGCCCCTTGCGAGTAAGAAATGGAATTAAATGTGGTTATATGGCACGTCAGCTCCAACCGGGCTATATCGCGAGTAAGAAGACATCGGCTATTTTAATACATCGACAAATGAAAGAGCACCTTAGAACTGGTCTTTGATCTCTAGTTTTGGTCACTGATCACTCACGGGTAGCTCTGAGCCCCCGGACCATCGCGATGAAGAATACGAGATATGACGAGGAATCTACTCGTGTAGATCATTTTTCTCCGCGGATTATATATTTCAGTGGATGCAAAGATGAATCTTCTTGATTTTGAAAACAAATATATATTTTTTTTTTTTTCTAAATTCTGCAATAGAGACCCAATCAGATATTAACTCTAACCTCTAGAGCGTCAACAAGATATTTCAGAGATCAAGGGCCATAACTCTGACAGTAACTATCGGAAATCGCTGCAAATCAATGGGATTCTTCGTTTCATGACCTAAAACAGTGTATAAATTTAAAGTCAATTGGATATTAACTTTAGCCTCTAGAATGTCCACAAGATTTTTCAAAGTGTTCAAGGGCCATATCTCTGGTATTAATTATCGCAAATCGCTGAGAATCAATAGGCTTCTTTGTCTCATGGCCTTAAACTCTGTGTATAAATTCAAAGTCAATCTGATATTAACCTTAGCCTCTAGAGCGTCAACAAGATATTTCGAAGAGATCAAAGACCATAACTCTTTCAGTAACTATCGGAAATCGCTGCAAATCAATAGGATTCTTCGTCTCAGGACCTAAACACTATGTATAAATTTAATGTCAATTGGATAACAACTTTAGCTTCTAGAATGTCGTTTCCTCCCACTGCTAAAGACCCCTACGCGCAAGCGAATTATTGAAATAAAATTAAACCATATGTTAGTCCCGAAATGACCTAGTTTGTGTCGAGTGGACATTAAACTCTATTTCTCTCTCTCTCTCTCTAGAATGTCGACAAGAATTTCAAAGTGTTCAAAGGTCATATTTCTGGTAGTAATTATCAGAAATCGCTGAAAATCAATAGTCTTCTTCGTCTCATGACTTTAAACACTGTGTAGCCTCAAGAGCATCCACAAGATTTTACAAAGTGATCAAATGCCATAACTCTGGCCTAAAACACAGTGTATGGATTTAAAGTCAATCGGATGTTAACTTTAGCTACTAGAGCGTCCACGGGCGGGAGCGACGACAATATATACGACCCCATTTCAATGTGGGCGTATAAAAATGTTGATTCAAGGCTTAGCCTCGATTAACAAGTACCGTTGCTACTAATAAACAATCTACGTCACATCTTGTCAAAATTTCAAACAGTGATAACTTTGCTCAGAATAAAGTAATTTAATGGAATTTACAATATATTCATTTTGCATTATGTATTTTTGAACTTTTACAGCAAGAATGGCTGGGCTTTCGGGAAAAATGCGCTTGGGTCCATACCACTATGTCCGCAAATTCTGAGGTCCGCGCTTGGTAAAATAAATGTGCGACATAAAAATACCAGGACGAGTGAATGTAGTTGAAAATCACATGGAATGATTGCTGTACTCCGAGTGTAATATTATTTTATTGTAACTGCAAACAAGTAATGGCTGAACGGACCCCCATATCATTGGCAGGGTTTTTAAATTCTTTCTTGAAGTTATATTTTTATTGTTATCAATATTCAATGTAGTCAAAGCAGTAATGATTTGATCTGGAGTAATCAAAACTACACTCAAAGCCATTAAAAACGCAATGCCTAATTCGTGAAATATTTCTGGTAAACGTTTTCTTTTTTGTGGAGTTCTGGGTTTGAACCTTTTAAGCAGTCCCATGTCACACGCTGCATTCCGGCCCTTTAAATACAGATCAAAATTTCAACATTCATCATTTCGGAAAAAATGCCACGCCCTACACAAGAAAACAGGAACAGAGCTATTGGCATGCTAGATCTGTGGGCTTCACAGGTAGCCGTCGCCTGACACTTTAATGACCACCCATCTACCATTGCTCGCCTCAGACAACGCCTCCACGCCACTGGAAGAGTTGCCGATCGACACCCACATGGAGTGCGACATCTGACTACAGCATTTGCGCAACAGGTCCCAGTCAGCTACTGCTACTGCAAGGGGAACTGTTGGAACACGGCAACGTCAGATCAGCCATCAAACAGGCCGAAGGCGCCTGGCTGCTCTTGGGTTACACTGCCGCCGACCTTACCAAGGTCAAATCTTTTTGCATCGTCATCGACTTGCCAGACAGCAATGAACCGCAAATCAGGCGTATCTGCACAACACACCATGGCGAAATGTCATCTTCTCGGATGAATCCCGATACAACCTCAGTTTTCCTGATGGACGTCACCGTATCTACCGACGTCGAAATGAGGTGGCATCATGATTTGGGCCGCTATCAACGACCCACCCAAAAATTTACATAGTAGACCCTAACTCCTATTTATTTACAACAATTATTAGGGTTCATTAAGATTCTATCTGTATAAAACCTGTACATATCCCAATATGGTTTACATTGCTAAAATAAAACACAGAGAGAATCATCTTTGAAACATGTGTGAAGTGAAAAGGAACTGTGTTCCATAAAATTGTGTCTAGTTAATTTTTCTGCCACTTATCAGAGTGAATCGCATGTAGGCACCCAAAAACATTATCGCCTAAACCAAATATTTATATATTGCGCCCCCCCCCCCCAATATATATTTCACGGCTACGTCTCTGGTCCCAGTTGGTGGTGGTCCAAGGCAATCTCAACATTATGTTGACGCCATCTTTCGTCCGGTGTTGCTTCCATTGCTGGCTCAACATATTGTACGTTGATAGATGTTTTCCAGCATGACAACGCCCGACCCCACACTGCCAGGTTGACAAGAGAAATGAAATGGGGTTTAACGTCCTACTGTTCTGCTCCTAAACTGGGCTAATGAAGACGGGCATACGCCATACAGTGTGCTATGAGGGAAATTTTGCCCGGACAGCGGCACTACGGCCTACTCTTATATCGAATTCCAACTGCCAAGGGATCTTTTACGTGCACGCCAATGTGTACACGGGACCTCGGTTTTTCGTCCCATCCAAACGACTAGACAGCTTTCCATGTCAGCCCCTCCGTCCTGCATCACTGACAAGGGAGAACCAAGCCGGAAAATCTGGATGTACTTTCTCGGCCAATGCAGGGATCGAACACCCGACCTCCAGGCTAGCGAGCTAGCGTCTTACCCACTTAGCCACGTGATCCCCGGTTGACAAGAGACTTTCTGAACAATCATGGTGTCCGTGTTATGGATTGGCCCGCTATATCTCCCGATCGAACACCTTTGGGAGGAACTTGGACGACGGGTTCGTACTCAAGCCATGCCACCACGAACTGTTGCAGAGTTGGCACAGGCACTCCAAAATCATTGGCAAACAGTCCCACAACGTGTAGTGAGACATCTGTGCCAGTCCATGCCAAGGCCACTTCATGCATGTGTAAGAGCCCAGGGTGGACATACCCGATATTGACTTCACCTGACCCCTGCTTTGTTTCATGGTTCTCTGACGTTTCGGTTTTGTGCATTTGTAGTGAATTCTTTCATGAAATTATCCACAGACGCTCGTTATCCCGATTTTGTCAATTGTTATGTACATTTGTTAAAAGTTGTTGCAGTAAAAAAAATTTGAATTTGGCATTGCGTTTTTAATGGCTTTGAGTGTATATTTGCCCTTTAGCACTTGGGTTGCTTTCAACTATGGCTCATTAGAAAGACTTAAATCTGATTCAAATACAGATCTATATTTCGGGTTGCTTTCACTACAACTATGGCTCATTAGAAAGACTCAATCTGATTAAATACAGATCTATATTTCGTTTTTTTTTTTATACTTTCGATGGCCTACCCTACATGAAGATCTGACTGGTTGTAGTGATAGGTCGCGTCAGAGGTCATACGAGCGGATTTGACCCTATAACGTCAAACATTTTATTAATCACCAGTGTTGACGTTTCTAGGGATTACCCACAGTTCTATGCACAGTACTCCCCACATTAACCAGAACAGGGCTTATATAACAACTCTTCTAGATCCTAGTGTAGTGAAGACAAGTAAAACGAAATTTTGAACTATAAAAAACGAAACCTACACAGAATGTAGAAAGACCAAAACTGATCGAGTCACTTTTATAGATATGGCACCCATAAAAGCTAGTACAGGTTCCTACAACACAGAGAGCTATTCACGTACACTTAGACTAGAGAAAATTATTGGGCTGTCCAGATTATACTGTTATCATATTTCTCTAATCTTCTTCAAGAAC